GTGTGACATCGCTAATATCGTGTGGCATCGCTAATATCGTGTGACATCGCTAATATTGTGTGACATCGCTAATATCGTGTGGTATCGCTAATATCGTGCGGCATCGCTAATATCGTGTGACATCGCTAATATCGTGTGACATCGCTAATATCGTGCGGCATCGCTAATATCGTGTGGTATCGCTAATATCGTGTGGTATCGCTAATATCGTGTGGTATCGCTAATATCGTGTGACATCGCTAATATCGTGTGGTATCGCTAATATCGTGTGACATCGCTAATATCGTGGGGTATCGCTAATATCGTGTGACATCGCTAATATCGTGTGGTATCGCTGAATATCGTGTGACATCGCTAATATCGTGTGACATCGCTAATATCGTGAGGCATCGCTAATATCGTGTGGCATCGCTAATATCGTGTGGTATCGCTAATATCGTGGGGTATCGCTAATATCGTGCGGCATCGTTAATATTGTGTGGTATCGCTAATATCGTGTGACATCGCTAATATCGTGTGACATCGCTAATATCGTGTGACATCGCTAATATCGTGCGGCATCGCTAATATCGTGCGGCATCGCTAATATCGTGTGACATCGCTAATATCGTGTGACATTGCTAATATCGTGTGGTATCGCTAATATCGTGTGGCATCGCTAATATCGTGTGACATCGCTAATATCGTGTGACATCGCTAATATTGCGTGACATCGCTAATATCGTGTGGCATCGCTAATATCGTGTGGCATCGCTAATATTGTGTGACATCGCTAATATTGTGTGACATCGCTAATATCGTGTGACATCGCTAATATTGTGTGGTATCGCTAATATCGTGTGGTATCGTTAATATCGTGCGGCATCGCTAATATCGTGTGGTATCGCGAATATCGTGTGACATCGCTAATATCGTGTGATATCGCTAATATCGTGTGACATCGCTAATATCGTGTGACATCGCTAATATCGTGTGACATCGCTAATATCGTGTGACATCGCTAATATCGTGTGGTATCGCTAATATTGTGTGGTATCGCTAATATCGTGGGGTATCGCTAATATCGTGTGGTATCGCTAATATCGTGTGACATCGCTAATATCGTGTGACATCGCCAATATCGTGTGGTATTGCTAAAATCGTGTGACATCGCTAATATTGTGTGACATCGCTAATATCGTGTGACATTGCTAATATCGTGTGGCATCGCTAATAACGTGGGGTATCGCTAAAATCGTGCGGCATCGCTAATATCGTGTGGTATCGCTAATATCGTGCGGCATCGCTAATATCGTGTGGTATCGCTAATATCGTGTGACATCGCTAATATCGTGTGACATCGCTAATATCGTGTGACATCGCTAATATCGTGTGATATCGCTAATATCGTGTGACATCGCTAATATCGTGTGACATCGCTAATATCGTGTGGCATCGCTAATATCGTGTGACATCGCTAATATCGTGTGACATCGCTAATATCGTGTGGTATCGCTAATATCGTGTGACATCGCTAATATCGTGTGACATCGCTAATATCGTGTGACATCGCTAATATCGTGTGATATCGCTAATATCGTGTGACATCGCTAATATCGTGTGACATCGCTAATATCGTGTGGCATCGCTAATATCGTGTGACATCGCTAATATCGTGTGACATCGCTAATATCGTGTGGTATCGCTAATATCGTGTGACATCGCTAATATCGTGTGGTATTGGTAATATCGTGTGACATCGCTAATATCGTGTGACATCGCTAATATCGTGTGACATCGCTAATATCGTGTGGTATCGGTAATATCGTGTGACATCGCTAATATCGTGTGATATCGCTAATATCGTGGGGTATCGCTAAAATCGTGTGACATCGCTAATATCGTGTGACATCGCTAATATCGTGCGACATCGCCAATATCGTGTGGTATCGCTAATATCGTGTGGTATCGCTAATATCGTGTGACATCGCTAATATCGTGTGATATCGCTAATATCGTGTGACATCGCTAATATCGTGTGATATCGCTAATATCGTGTGGTATCGCCAATATCGTGTGACATCGCTAATATCGTGTGACATCGCTAATATCGTGCGACATCGCTAATATCGTGTGGTATCGCTAATATCGTGTGGTATCGCTAATATCGTGTGACATCGCTAATATTGTGTGGTATCGCTAATATCGTGTGGCATCGCCAATATCGTGGGGTATCGCTAATATCGTGCGGCATCGCTAATATCGTGTGGTATCGCCAATATCGTGGGGTATCGCTAATATCGTGCGGCATCGCTAATATCGTGTGGTATCGCTAATATCGTGCGGCATCGCTAATATCGTGTGACATCGCTAATATTGTGTGGTATCGCTAATATCGTGTGGTATCGTTAATATCGTGCGGCATCGCTAAGATCGTGCGGCATCGCTAATATTGTGTGGTATCGCGAATATCGTGTGACATCGCTAATATCGTGTGATATCGCTAATATCGTGTGACATCGCTAATATCGTGTGGTATCGCTAATATCGTGTGACATCGTTAATATCGTGTGACATCGCTAATATCGTGTGACATCGCTAATATCGTGTGACATCGCTAATATCGTGTGACATCGCTAATATCGTGTGGTATCGCTAATATTGTGTGGTATCGCTAATATCGTGGGGTATCGCTAATATCGTGTGGTATCGCTAATATCGTGTGACATCGCTAATATCGTGTGACATCGCCAATATCGTGTGGTATCGCTAAAATCGTGTGACATCGCTAATATCGTGTGACATCGCTAATATCGTGTGACATCGCTAATATCGTGTGGTATCGCTAATATCGTGCGGTATCGCTAATATCGTGTGACATCGCTAATATCGTGGGGTATCGCTAATATCGTGTGACATCGCTAATATCGTGTGACATCGCTAATATCATGTGAATCGCTAATATCGTGGGGTATCGCTAATATCATGCGGCATCGCTAATATCGTGTGGTATCGCTAATATCGTGCGGCATCGCTAATATCGTGTGACATCGCCAATATCGTGTGGTATCGCTAATATCGTGTGACATCGCTAATATCGTGTGGCATCGCTAATATCGTGTGACATCGCTAATATTGTGTGACATCGCTAATATCGTGTGGTATCGCTAATATCGTGCGGCATCGCTAATATCGTGTGACATCGCTAATATCGTGTGACATCGCTAATATCGTGCGGCATCGCTAATATCGTGTGGTATCGCTAATATCGTGTGGTATCGCTAATATCGTGTGGTATCGCTAATATCGTGTGACATCGCTAATATCGTGTGGTATCGCTAATATCGTGTGACATCGCTAATATCGTGGGGTATCGCTAATATCGTGTGACATCGCTAATATCGTGTGGTATCGTGAATATCGTGTGACATCGCTAATATCGTGTGACATCGCTAATATCGTGAGGCATCGCTAATATCGTGTGACATCGCTAATATCATGTGAATCGCTAATATCGTGGGGTATCGCTAATATCGTGCGGCATCGCTAATATCGTGTGGTATCGCTAATATCGTGCGGCATCGCTAATATCGTGTGACATCGCCAATATCGTGTGGTATCGCTAATATCGTGTGACATCGCTAATATCGTGTGGCATCGCTAATATCGTGTGACATCGCTAATATTGTGTGACATCGCTAATATCGTGTGGTATCGCTAATATCGTGCGGCATCGCTAATATCGTGTGACATCGCTAATATCGTGTGACATCGCTAATATCGTGCGGCATCGCTAATATCGTGTGGTATCGCTAATATCGTGTGGTATCGCTAATATCGTGTGGTATCGCTAATATCGTGTGACATCGCTAATATCGTGTGGTATCGCTAATATCGTGTGACATCGCTAATATCGTGGGGTATCGCTAATATCGTGTGACATCGCTAATATCGTGTGGTATCGTGAATATCGTGTGACATCGCTAATATCGTGTGACATCGCTAATATCGTGAGGCATCGCTAATATCGTGTGGCATCGCTAATATCGTGTGGTATCGCTAATATCGTGGGGTATCGCTAATATCGTGCGGCATCGTTAATATTGTGTGGTATCGCTAATATCGTGTGACATCGCTAATATCGTGTGACATCGCTAATATCGTGTGACATCGCTAATATCGTGCGGCATCGCTAATATCGTGCGGCATCGCTAATATCGTGTGACATCGCTAATATCGTGTGACATTGCTAATATCGTGTGGTATCGCTAATATCGTGTGGCATCGCTAATATCGTGTGACATCGCTAATATCGTGTGACATCGCTAATATTGCGTGACATCGCTAATATCGCGTGGCATCGCTAATATCGTGTGGCATCGCTAATATTGTGTGACATCGCTAATATTGTGTGACATCGCTAATATCGTGTGACATCGCTAATATCGTGTGGCATCGCTAATATCGTGTGGCATCGCTAATATCGTGTGACATCGCTAATATCGTGTGACATCGCTAATATCGTGTGGTATCGTTAATATTGCCAGGTCCTCCTCGCAAAAGACGTTTTAAACTCAAGGGTTTATATTCTTGGTTATTTCGGTAAAGTCACGTAGAAGGGTAACAATAAAATAATAAAAATATAAAAACCGCCACTTTTTTCAAAATTTCTTGCCGTGGGTTTTCACACCTGATGATGATTGCTTGTGTTGCAGTCGAAACGTCGCGAGAATTTTTTATTTATTATTTAATTGTTTCCCTTCTACCGAAAGAACCAAAAATATGAATCCCTGCAGTCAAGAAAGCTTTGAATCAAAATTCAAGGGTTTATTTTTACCTGGTTAAATAAAGGTGAAATGAAATAAAAAATATACAAAAATTGCGTGGTATCGCTAATATTCGCGTGGTATCGCTAATATCGCGTGGCTTTTGCTAATATCGTGCGATATCGCGATACGGGCGATATCGCGATATCGCGATACGGGCGATATCGCGATACGGGGCGGTGTTTGGCGCCGGGTCCTGCAGGCAGCGCGCGGGACGCCCCAAGAGGCGAGGACCCCACCGAGCAACATGGCGGCCCGCAGCGGGAGCGCGGCGCGGTTTGAATGAGGGAAGCGTGAAGAGGCCGGAACCTCACCTCGTCTATCTCCTCTCTTAACGCCTCTTTGTCTCTCTACCACCTCGTCTCTCTACCCCTCGCCTCTACCTCCTCGTCTCTGCGCCTCCTCGTCTCTCTACCACCTCGTCTCGTCTCACATCGTCCATCCACGTCGTCCTCAACCATCACCCCGTCCCGACACACCTCGTCTTGGACTAGTACTCCTCACCCACCTCGTGTATCCACTCACCTCGTCTCTCTACCCCTCGCCTCTACCTCCTCGTCTCTACGCCTCCTCGTCTCTCTACCACCTCGTCTCTACCACCTCGTCTCCCCACGTCGTCCTCAACCATCACCTCGTCTTGGACGAGTACTCCTCACCCACCTCGTGTATCCACTCACCTCGTCGCCACACCTCTTCCTGTATCCACCTCGTCGCTACGCTCACTCTACCTCGCCTCTTCGTTTCTCTTCCCCCGCCACATCCTCGTTTCTTAATCTCGTCTGAAAATTCTACGTTGTACCCGACCCCCCTTCTTCTCCACACACCTCGTCCTGCCCTCACCTCGTCTATACCAACTCGTCGCTTCCCCACCTCGTCTCGTCCACTCGTCACGTCTCGCCGCCGCGATGGGTGCCACGAAGCACTGGTTTTTGCAGAGGGTGAGAATTAACAATTCGAACGCGGTGTGACTATCCCATCTCAAGAAGCGTCGCAATGCTTTTGCCATTCAACAACAACAGCAACAACAACAAAAGCAACGTTTAAAACCGCGCCTGCGTCACGTCAAATGCATGTTGAACTTCTTTCGCACCCTACATAGCCAACCGTGCGTGTAACAAAGGTTAACAACGGGCCGAGTTGTTGGACTCGGCTGTGAAGTTGACGGCTCGTCTCTAGATCTGAAGCTTTCGTGACTGCAAGGATCAATACTCTTTGGTTCTATTCGGCAAAGTCACGTAGGTAAAAAAATAAAAACAAAAATCACGACGTTTCGGCCACAACACAAGTAGCCTTCTTCAGAACTGTCGTCCCGACAGTTCTGTTCCTTCACCTGAAGAAGGATACTTGTGTTGTGGCCGAAACGTCGTGATTTTTGTTTTATTTTACCTACGTGACAGAACTCTGTCGTCCCGACAGTTCTGTTCCTTCACCTGAAGAAGGCTACTTGTGTTGTGGCCGAAACGTCGTGATTTTTGTTTTATTTTTTACCTACGTGACTTTACCGAATAGAACCAAAGAGTATTGACGGCTCTTGTGAGTCCCCCCCCTCCCCCCCCCATGAGCGGGTCGTCTTGCCGGTACCCACCGGAGGTTTCGTCACTAAACCCGGCGACCCGAGTTCGATTTCCCATCACGGCCACCGAACATCCAGTGAGGAGTATCTAAACCGGTCCTGGGACCTCCCCCTAGGTCGACTCGGCCTCAAATTAGTACCTGGTGCGATGTGCAAACATCGCCGCTGGGGAGACAAAGGCGGTCGGGCGTGCTTGTTTGGGCCACCCACCCCCTCGTGTGCCGTGCCGGCCTTCGTAGGTGCTGCTCGCTGACAGCGCTTGCCCCAACAGTCTGTTTAGGCTACACGGGGGATCTTTGTCTTTTGCTGTGTATGGGGAGCGGTAGGGCAGCAGTCTATGAACGGGGCGAGCCGAGTTCGCCAACACCGGTGACGATTATCTGAACCGGTCCTGGGACCTCCCCCTAGGTCGACTCGGCCTCAAACGAGTACCTGTTGGGATGTTTTAAGCAGCGCCACTAGGAAGACGAAGGCGGCCGGGCGTGATGTGCGGGCTACCGACTGACTTCCTCGTGTTACCATGACGGCCTTCGTGAGAGTGCTCGCAAACAGCACTTGCCCCAGCAGTTACACGGGGGCGGCGGGGGGGGGGGATAAATGTCTTTGATGTCGTCCCCTCTCTCCCCTTGCTTCTCCGCGTGCGTTGCAGGAGCTCCGCTGGCGTGTGGCGGCCGCGGTGGCGTGGGCCGTACTGATGCTGCCCGCGTTCACCGCCGCCTACCTGGCCCTCGCCCGCCTCGACCCCCTCCACCCCCTGCTCTGGGTCGCCGGTCAGAGCAACCCCGCGCACTCTCGCACGACCCATTGTTTGCGAGCGCCTATTGTGTGGGAACGTGCTCGCTTGTGGCCCATAAGAGGGCGCTGCGGTGACGAGATGTTCGTCACCTCGCCAGGTATACAGGATGTCGTGGGTTTGATCCCGACCCCGATGCCGGTAAATTTGGAGTTTGAATCTCTCTCCCCGTGGTCACGTGGATTTTTCTCCGGGTCCTCCGGTTTTTCCCTCCACATCTAGAATCAAAGTGCGCTTAGAGTATTTGGCCGCTCAAAATTTACACGTGATAAGCCACTTAGTTGAGCTGTGACCTGTGGCCAGATTGCTTCTGAAAAAGAGCTAGATAGCTCAGGGGGCCTTACCTAGTAAAATAAAAAGTTGGGTTTAGACGGTTGGGTAAATGGGTTTGGGCAGGACACGTCGCTTGAGTCAAGTTATTTACAATTGAGACGGTGGCCTTGCCCTATTTGTATTTATAATGCTGAGCAAGTGGTGGAGATTCAACATTATTATGGTGGGGCCAAGGACAACCACTGTTAACTTTCCTACCAATGAAACTAAACAAAAACTAAAGCATTTTTTATTTTAACAGGTAAGGCCCACTGAGCTATATGGTTCTTTTTCAGGAACGACCTGGCCACAAATAATCACCCAATGAAGTGGCTTATCACGTGGAAATTTCTAGCAGCCAAGTACTCTAAAAGCATGTTTCTAAATGTGGAGGGAAAAATCCGAGGACCCAGACAAAAATCCATACAAATTGGGGAGAACATGCAAACTCCAAATATACAGGGATCATCAGGGTCGGGATTGAACTCCCGACCTCCTGTATACCAGGCGAGGCAGTTACCATCTCGCCATCGCGGCATCCTGTTGCAACCTTGCGATTGGGAGTCTCTCGCCCTACCGCTGAACCACCTTGACACTCGGCTACGATGGATGATAGCTGGTAGCCGAGACAAATGACTGAGTGGCAGCCAAGGGACAGAATGCACGGGATTTTCGAGCATAGCAACTTAATGCTCTCAACCCAGACACCAATGATTGCACACACACTAACCCATATATTTACGTGATCTAACAAAAAAAACCCCCTCTATTATGGATAATATTGGTCGCAAAAGCCTACGTGTTAAACTAACCCATCACGTTAAATTTGGCTTTGCACTTAAATTTACTCAATTTCTGTCTCTTATAATTTAAAATACTCTCTTGGTTTAATACGACAAACAGTCCGTGGCATAGCAGGTGCGAAAGTGCTGGCCTCTACTGTGTTGATGAGACGTCACTTGCAGAATTTGTTCCCTGATATCTACTTCCACGGGTCGTTGTATCATGGAGGTACTTGCTGCTCTACAAGAGTTCCGAACCGATTCTTTGTATGATGACATGATGCTGACAGCACAATCTGGATAAAGTTAGAGGGGAGGGGGGGGGTGGGTATTTCTCCTTGACAAAATTTGCAACAAAAAGAAACCTGAGTGGCATACTGAACGTGGTGATTTTTTTTTAATCTTGGCCCAAGTGCCATTAGTGTTGTGGCATCACAGAGTGAAAGAGAGGGCGAGTGCTCTTGAGCCTTCCACACCCTCGTACGCCGAGCATCTCCATCACTATCGGAGCTCCTGTTCACTCGGCGCCACTTGACTCCGTGGTTTATGGAGACTAAAATGGGTGCCGCCTTTGTTCCTGCTGCATCGCACGTGTACGAGAGTGAGTGTGTGTGTGCAGGCCACTCCACCCCCTTGTGTGCCATGTCGGCCTTCATAGGTGCTCGCTAACAGCACTCGCCCCAACAGCTTGTTAAGGCTACACGGGGAGTCTTTGTGTATGTGGGTAGCGGTGGTGTAGTGCTTAGCGCGCTGCGCTACTAACCCGGCAATCGGTGTTCGGTTCACGCTCACGACCAACACTGGTGACGATTATCATAAGCGGTCAATGGCCTCCCCTAGGTCGATTGGGCCTCAAATGAGTGTGTGGTGTGTAAACATCACCACTGGGGAGATAAAGGCGGCCGGGCTTGGTGTTGGCCACCCACCCCCTCGTGTGCCGTGCCGGCCATCATAGGTGCTGCTCGCTAACAGCACTTGCCCCAAAAATCTATTACAGGTTATACGGGAGATCTTTGTTTTTGGGGAGAGCGGTAGTGTTAGTGGTTAATGCACCGTGCTACAAACCCATAAACCGTGAGTTCACTTCCTCCTGGCCACAGCAAACGTCAGCGACAAATGTCTCAACCTGTCCTGAGCCTCCCTAAGATGGACTCGTCTATAAATGAATATGTGGTGCGGTGTGTTAAAGAAACACAAAACGTCCGCACTCGGGATAGAGAGGTGGCAGGGAATGGTGTTGGCCTCACCACCCCCTCGTGTTTCGTTCCGGCCTTAATAAGTGCTTGCCAACAGCAATTGCCCAACTAGCCTGTTAAATTTCACCTGGGCTATCTTTGTTTGTCTGTTTCTGAGTTATATCTATGTGTGTGTGCGTGTATATATGTTTAGCACAGTAGAGAGCGCAGGTGGTTTATCTAGCATTCACCTGAGTCACTTAACCCAAAGCACCTGGATCTCAAAGTACACCTAGTCTGGCACAAGTACCATGGTGACACCTCTGCCATTTAGTGGCCAATGGCAGTTCATGCACATGTCTGTGTGTCTGTGTGTCTCTGTGTGTGTGTGTGTGTGCAGACACCCTGAGTGAGCTCGCCAGCTCCCACGTCCTATTCACCTTGACGCTGCTGTCGCTAATGCTGCTGCTGGTGTCGGCGTTCGACTCGAGGAATTACACGGGTCAGCCCCGGCGTCTCCCGCCACAACCGGCACACCTCACGAGGCCTCCCTCGCTGCCCCCTGCCTCCCTCCGTTTCCCAGAGAACTCCCGCAGAAGCATCTATTCGGAGGGAAGAGGGCGCCACGCTGGCGAGATGTTAAACTACCTCACCTGGTATATGGGTGGGAGGTCGTGGGTTCAATCCTGACCCTGACGATGCCTGCTGTATGTTCTCCTCGTGGTCACGTAGATTTTTCTCCGGGTCCTTCGGTTTTTTCCTCCACACACGTTCGGAGTATTTGGCCGCTATAAATTTCCACTTGACAAGCCACTTCGTTGAGCTATCATTTGGGGGCCAGGTCGCTTCTGAATGAGAACTTAATAGCTCAGTGGGCCTTACCTGTTGAAATAAGAACAGTTTATAATTGTTTATAGAGTCGACCCACTGCGACAATTAAAACGTGGGAACATAGTCCTCGCCAAAAAAATATCCAATGGGAATTACACAAAGCGTCAATTAATGCCCACTGCTGGCGGATCCCCGCTCACAGGCCAGGTTCTGAGTGACCTTGTCTTCACAGGCATGGCTGCAACTGGGGGTTCCCTTTAAATCGTTTGACATGTGATGTAAGTTGTAAAAAATAATAATAGGCTTTTACCCTTTCCCAAAATAATACAGGAGGTGTTAAGATGTTCAAACACCAAATTGATACCTATTGCAATGCAACAAGTATGCTTTACCACATGCTTGTGATAAAGCATGCAAACGAACAAGCTTTGACAATGTATGCATTGTTTTTAAAAAATAATTTGCCTACACCAGAAACAGCCTCCTTTTTTGTCTTGACTCACCACCAGTGCTAGACCAGAGAACAACGCCAACAGGCGAACAACACAGAGGCAATGCAAATATCAAAGCATTGGTAGCTTGGATTGAGCGGTTGAGCCTGTTCATTTTCCGTAATTTTGATACCGGTGTAGTGACGCACTTTATTTAACAAGCACCATCGGGATAGATACACACCCTACGTGGGTGAACACTTATAATTAAGACCGTCTATTGTCGGCGGGCGGTACTACTTAAAAGAACAGTTGGTAGGCTGTCTGACTAACAGCACTCCGGAATGGTGAAGACGGAGACGACGTTGAGGAGATGGCGACGACGATGAGATGGTGACGACAATGGTCTTGAACAGCCACGACGGGGATTCCACTTCCAGCAACAGCCCCGAGCTCCCGCTCAGGGCCCCCTCTTATGCTCCCAGCGTGGCCTTGCTCCGCCCCGATCACGCCCCTCTTCTGGAACCTACTCGCGGATTCCCGGCACTTTCCTGATGGGCCCCTTCTTTGATCTTTTGCCTAGATGTCCCCCTCTCGTCTATACTGTGGCCTGCTGGCACGAGTACTTCCGTACACCGCAGTTACCCTTTTCCGCCAGCAGCCTGCGCTATACCGTTACACCGGCATAAAATGGTCCCGTAGATTTATGTATGTTGAACTTTTTTTCGCGCCGTACGTAGCCAACTGTGCTAATCGTAGGTGCAGGTATAGATAATTCATCATTGGTCATGAAGGTGGCTCGGCCCAAATGGGTGGACAAGCTTTGCTCCATCTCTTTCTTGCTCTCTCTGGCTCTGCTCGTTCACTCAATTCTGGGTTTTCAATTAAATTTTACAGAAGAAACGAATAAATTCTTCAAGACCGTAAGAATTATCCCCGAAATCTTGAATGTGAGAATTAGCCTTCCATCTTTTCTTAGAAAGTGGTTCGCTATTAATTTATCCTGTACAGTACATGTAGTCGTTTTTAAAGTGTTATTAAACGGTCAATATTGAATTGTAGATGTTTTAGTAGTTTGTCAGAAGCTCATCACACGCCATTTTGAACATATACGTCAGGTGCTAATTCCTTGTAAATGTCGTTCATCATAATTACTTATACGTTAATTAATTATTTGCGACATACTGAACCACCCCCCCCATAACAAGAGGCTGCGATCACAATTAGTCCAGCTTCGAAATGATTGATCGACTATGCATGTCGCGCCACACGTGGAACCTATAGAGGCCGTAGCAAGCGACCGCCCACCCCCAGCCACCCCCCCCCTTCCCCCCTCCGTAGTAGCAGACTTCTGACGCTTGCTCCCCTGCCTCCCCTTCCTCCCAGTGGTGGCGCTGGTGCCGTGCACGCCGCTGGGCGCGCTCGCCGGTGCCGTGAGTCCTCACCGCGTGCTGCACTGCGCCGCACACACTGTGGCCGGCCTGCTCGCCGCGTGGTGCGCCGTCCTCACCGCTGGTGGCGCCTACCGGGCGCCGAGCATCACGTGCGGCGCGCAGCACAGGCGTGTTTGGGGGGGGGGGGGGGGGGTGGAGGAATTGGCCCCTGCCGTGGGAATGTGGAATTGTTGAAAGGTGGTTTGGTGCTGTTGACGGCGAGGGCTGCGCCATGGCCCTTTGAGCGAGGAGACGTTTTTTTGATTGTTTACTATTTTTCCTTTTCTCCAATTTTATACTCAAGTAAGCTATTTTTTTTTATTTTACCCGGTAAATCCCGCTGAGCTATATAGCTCTTTTTCAGAAGCGCACTGGCTATCTGAAATGATAGCTCAACGAAGCGGCTTATCACGTGGAAATGTTTCGCAGCCGAATACTCTGAAGGCGCCTTGATTTTAGATGTGGAGGTGAAAAACTGGAGGATCCGGAGAAAAATCCACGCGACCACAGGGAGCGAGCGAGAGAGAGAGAGAGAGAACACGCAAACTCCAAATATACGGCAGGCGTCACGGTCGGGATCGAACCCACAACCAGGCGAGGAAGTTAACATCTCGCTCCATGTAAATTCGTGATGGTGGCGTGATGATGCAAAGGATCCATTTAGACATCTCGCAGAGCAATGCAACCCCCTCCCTGTTTGAGAACAAACCACGGAAGTTGATATAACAGAGCTACCCCTGAGATCCCTTCAAGTGACCCCTGGTCCAGCGTTTTCCCCGCTCACCATGGCACTGAGAGTAATGTTTGCGCATCACCGTCAAACCATTATTTTAAATATTTTCATAAATCCGCACTTTAGCAGCGTGGTGAAGTATGGTCAAACAACCCCCATGAACGACGTGTCATTTTTAAAAGGTGATAAAGATGCGAGCCTGTAATCTTATCACTGTCACCCCCTTCACACTTCTTTTGTGTGCATGCATGCATCTCTTGTGTACTTGAATGTGTGTTTATCCTAGTGTGTGTGTGTGTACGTGCATGTGTGGTGAAATGGGGAGAAGTAGGTGTCGTGGTTGGCACGCTCCCCTACGAACCCAGTGACCCGAGTTCGATCCTCGCTCACGGCCAACACCAGTGACACGTATCTGAACCAGTCCTGGGCCTCCCCTAGGTTGACTCAGCCTCAAATGAGTTCCTGGAGCAATGTGTAAAACATCGCCACTGGGGGAGACGAAGGCTCGCAGGCGTGGTGCTGACCGCCCTCTTAGGTGCTCGCTGACAGCACTTGCCCCAACAGTCGGTTAAGGCTACATGGGGGATCTTTGTCTTTGTGCTGCAGCCCTGTTGGCGAGTGCCTGAGCGAGCGACACCTCTTCGTGCTGCTCTTTGGGGGCTTCGTGGGCGCCACCTACAGCTTCCTCTACTTCCACAGCCACATGTACTACGTACCGTTCCCCGCCATACAGGTGGCCCCCATCGCACCCACCCATCCACACATCGCACTCCGCCTGCAGTAGCAATGATGATGTATGGGTGTTTTTTATTCATGTTTTTATTGCGGTAAGCACACAACGCCCGGTTCAACGCGTCAATGGTTTCTGGGGGGAGGGGACAGAAAAAGCGAGGGGGTAACTTTCACCGCTTGGTCGTGCATAGGTGGTGGGGGGGGGGATGCCCGGTGCCCTCCTTGACGGGGTCTTCCGTTGGGGGAGGAAGTGGGAGTTTATACATGTGGGGGGAGGGAAAAAAGGGGCGGGTGGAAGTAAATATGCATGTTGAACTTCTTTCGCACACCGTACGTAGCCAACCGTGCTAATCAGAGGCGCGGGAAGATTTTGGCGAATAATAATGATCTTGTTCATGTACAGCCCCTTAGCCTAACCGGCTTCTTTGTGCAGCAGGAGAACGCGCTAGCTTGCAATGCAGCCCAGTGTTTCGTGTTCTCGTTTAAAGACACAAACTCCCCCCCCCACCACTGTGCAACCCCTTTTTGCAGCATGCAGCATGGGGAACACACACTCGGTTGCAATCGCAGCCTGGTGTTCTTTGTGTTTTTGTTATAATACGCAAACCCGTCTTGCTAGTTTTTTTCGCAGCACGCTGCAGAAAAGCACACTCCCAGTCGCAGTTGAATCCCAATGTTCCCTGCCTGCCTTTAATGATACAAATCCTAGTGCCAACTGTGTTTACAGCACGCGGATGCGTTCTCAGTTGTAATGGCAGCCCAGTAAGTGTTCCATTTCTCCTGTGTATGCATTTAAAGACTTTACGCTGTTTGAGTCATTTTTGCAGCATGGCGAACGCACCTTATCAGCTGCAATCACATCCCAGTGTTCTTTGCCCGATGTGTATTCTTGTTGTTCAAAAATGGCAATCCCCCCCCCCTCCGTCCCCCTTCCGCACCACCCTTGCTTCGCCATCCCGCAGATGTACAAGTACCGGCGATTCCGAGCGCTGCTGCCACGCATCCTTACCCACAGCGCCGCCCAGTCCCTGCGGCTGCTGCGCTACTACTGCCTTCTCTACTTCCTGCTTGGTACGGCGGGGGAACACGGCGGAGAAGTCAACTGCGTGTGGCGAGTCGCACAGCGTGGTTGGCATAGGGCCCTGGTGCAAGGCGTCCAGGAGTTCAATAAAAACTAAGACCTCCACGTTCGGACCAATTTTCCCCAAACTCCCACCAACGTCTTGGTAGGCCGCCACGGCCCCCTCTGGCCCTAGGCCCTGGTGCATTCGTGCTGCCGGCACACCCCTCAGCTACTGGACATTTGTGAAAAAGAGCTTCATAGCTCATCGGATTCCTCCAGTATAATTCAATATTATGATCCATAGCTAAGCCACTGCACATGGCATTCGTCAATTAAAAACACCCTTTGTGGTCATCACTGTAACTATTGTATGTATATGTGTTTAACTTGTTTTGCACGCTACGTAGCCATCCGTGCTAATCGCAGATGCAGGGAAAGTACAACAAACTAGCACAAAAAGCACTTCTAAAGAAATTAGTTTTCAATCAAGATTATTTAAACGTGCATAGCTACAGTGACTTCCTAATATCAGAAGGAAGAGCGTTCCGGACGGCCACAGAAGCGCATCTGAAAGCGCGCGATGTAGTGAGGATGGTCAAGGTCAAGAGGTCATCATTGCCAGTCTTGTTGATGCACTGCACCACCCCCTGTCATTGGCTTTAGGTCTTTGTTTTGTTTCCAATCAAATTGTCTTGAAAGTGTCCGATCCTGTCAGATCTCGGAAGCTAAGCAGGCATAAATCTGGTCGGTATTTGGATTGGAAGAGACTGCGCTACCCTGTGAAAATGCACGTATCAGAGGGAGTGATATTCGAAGGTTCAGATAGTCGGGCTAGAGTGATAAGTTAAAATCACCAGTTGCTGCTAAGTTGTACAAAAAAACAACCGCTGTTTGTTTTTTGTTTTTTCTAGGCAAGTGGCCGCGAGGGTGGGTCATGGCAGCATTTGACCTCCACCTGGACAGGTGAGAGATGTCCTGTCTTCTCGTGTGATTCTGAGCGAGTGGGAGGTGAGTTGGCGAGTGAGTGAGCCCATGGCTTAGATCGGAGGGAGGGAGAGTGGGTGCATGAATGCCTGGGTAGATAACAGGGTAAGTACGTGAGTGAGCAAGTGAGAATGGCTGGGTGTATGAGAGGGTGATTGAGCAAGCGCGCAAGCCAGTGAGTAACTGACTTTGTAGAGGTGAGAAGTGAGTGGCTGGGTGAGTGATTGGCTGGGTGGGTGAGTGATCGATCAAGTTATTGAATTGTTGGTGGGGAGCCTGAGTGGATGATTGAGTGAGTGAGCAAACACAATTCCTGTGTGTGACGGGTGGTGAGTGAGTGACCGATTGAGTGAATGGAACCTGGATAAACTGGTGGCTGTGATGGGAATCAAACCACATGTCAAGCACCATGCTTCGAGCATGTGATAATTTTAATCTTGTGTGCTTGAGTACGCGCGCATGCATTTGTGCTTGTGAATGCGTATATGGGTGCGTAGTGGGCGTGCGTGTGTGGGTAGGTGTCGAATAAATGCTGCACTCGGGGAGTGGGCTGTGTGTATGTGGCACAGTCGGGGGCGCACAGGTGGTGCATCTGCCAGTCGTCTTAGTCAACCCATGGCACCTGGGTCTGTCCCGTGACCTCCTGCCAGCGGACATTCGACACTTCACGTGACCTTAAAGTGCACATACTGGAACAAGCGTCATGCCGGTTGTTGTTACGGAGCGGTAGCACAGTGTTGTGGTTCGCGTGCTGCACCACAAACCTGACAACCTAAGTTCGTTCCCCGCTCATGGTTAACATTAGTGGGGAATATCCGAACCTACACGGTGCGCCATGCAAACACGAGAACTGGGGAGACAAAGGCGGCCAGTGGTGTGGTTTCTGGCCACACCAGCCCTCGTGCACTATGCCGGCCTTCAAAGGTGCTCGCTAACAGCACTTTTGGCCCAGCGGTGTATGTAGGCTAATCTGTGTTTGTTGACAGTTCGGTGTCGAGGCTGGACTCTGTGAGCGGCTTGCTGGACGTGCCCCTGCTGTACGAGACGTGGCTGGCCGGGGCCTTCGTGCTGCTCACCTGGTACCTGTCCTGGGCCCTGCTGCGGATCTTCTCCACCGAGGTGAGAGCCCCTTTGCTCCCCTTGTCATCACGGATCCGTACACCTTTTGCTCCGCTGCTCGCCACCGAGGTGCCATGATCATGGAACTGCTTCTGGCAGGAGAAGACTCGACACGCAAAGCACGTAAGCTGTCATATTGTAGACGAACACCTTGTCTGTGTGCCCCGGGCTGCCCCGACACATTTGTGAGGACATGTGGAAAGTTCGAATGTGTTAACTTTTATAGAATGACAATTATCCTAATATATAAACACCCTGGTCTGTGATTCTGTCATTTTGTCATTCTGTGACTAACGTGGCATGGATTGGTTGAAGTGCGTCACGTGACCGGGACCAAGCAGCCAAACCAACGCTTGGCGGGGCTATAGAGGGGCGGGTGAAAGTCTGCATCGAACCAAACCCCCAGCAAGGCCATCTACTTAACGACGAGAGGAAATTCACACGAAATGTCGTTTTCAATTAAGTATTCCAGATGTAAAATGATATAAGCTTTTCGTGAAGTAATACAATTATCTAATTCAAAACATAATACAATTCAAAATATGTTTCATTTTAAAACTTCAAAACGGAGCATCGGGTGCTTGCGTGAATGTGTTGTTCGCGTGCAAATTTTTTCATGACATTCCTGGCCGAAGGCCGTAAATGTTTGTGAGGGGCGCCACAGGAGCCTCCGAACAACCCCTAGTTATTCAGAATGCTTTTTACTCAAGACAGCCTCACTGACCGTGAGTCTCATTACTTCTTTCAGGAGGGAGGCCTAATCACTTTTTGCAGTTGAGGGCGATGATCGCTATTCTGTTTCCAAATGACCAGATTTCGGAGTAATTTTTCAAATTCGGCAAATTTAGACCGTCAGTTGACGCCAGCGCACGTGACGTCACAATACATTTTTACATTTGCTGTGGAGCAGATGGCTTATGTTTTTTTTTTACAGTTAATACACAACCGCAGTATTAACCAGGGTGGCCTGCCGGCTTTGAGAACGCGAACCTCTGCAACGAGCGGCGATAGCGCCACAGCTCGACCATGTTTCAGCAGTGCGCGCGCGCGTGTCCTGAACTCGTCAAGATGCATAAACCATCGCCACACGAACTCCGGTCGTCCTCGCAGCGGCGTCTTTTGGCTGGCCATGGAACAAAGACGGTGGTGCAGCGCATCAACAACACTGGCCAAGATGACCTCTTGACCTTGACTAACCTCACTGCATCGCGTGCTTTCAGATGTGCTTCTGCGGCCGTTTGGAATGCTCTTCCGATATTAGGAAGGCAGTGGAGCTATGCACTTTTAAATAATCTAGATTGAAAACTCATTTCTTTTGAACTGCTTTTTGTGTTTAGTTTGCTGTCGTTCCCCCGCACCTCCGATTATCACGGCTGGCTACGTATGGTGCGAAATAAGTTCCAACATACATGCGTGCATACATCTGCACTTGTTATCCCCACCGTGCCTCCCCTGTGCCCACAGCCCCACGTCTTCTTTGTGGAAAGCAGCTTCCCAGAGGAGGCGGAGATGTGTCTGCCTGCCGTCCTGGCCTCCAACCCCCCGTCCATTGTGAAGGTGAACCGGCCCCGCCAATCTACAGCACTCTCGCCTGGGCCATACCAACCGGGAGGGACGGGGTGTGGGTGGGGGGGGGGCGAGAAGAGGGTTGTGACACCATTCGTGATTGATGCACATTACACCGGGTTCTCAAGTGTAGTGAGTTTATGGTCTCAGCCAGGTGACCAACGACTGCACACACAAAAAAAACGATGGCATACATTTAGCGTCTGTGATTATTTTGGCTAAATTGCAGCTCGGAGAATTACTGATTATATTTTCGCTGTCAGGCGAAAAACATTACTCTCTGCTGCATGATGTGTGGGAAAGTGCCGCAAAACTACTGCGTGTGATCAGAGGCCAATCTCAAAAAGGTAACTCCTTGACATCCGCTGCCACGAAGGTTCGCAGTGCTTTGTGGGAGTTTCAAATGGATTCTTTGCCTCTTGACGTGACACCTAACGATGGCACAATTGGGATGAAATTGTGGATAAAAATTCAATGAAAATATGAATTGGATCAGGGTCTGTAGAGATGCTATATACATAATTTTAACACGTAGGCTTTCTCTCTGGCTGTCGCCTGACGAGGCTAGTTGTAATTACTGCCGAAACGTTGCACTCAAATTGTAAATGTTGTGGCTTTGCTCACCACATCAGTGTGCTGTACTAGTAATGAATTGGCATGTTCTGTTTACATTACAAACCTTACTAATTAATTGGCTGTGTCGGGTGGAGAAGGGTTTTAACGACACATTTATATATTTATACGATCTAACCCCAAAAAAAACCTGTATTATGGATGCTATATACATCTTAATAATTGTTGTTGTTTTACAGCATCTGGCTCTCCAGGACTTGTCCATTCTGGCCCAATATTCTCCCGGTCGACGTCAGCAGATATTCAGTCTGAGCCAGCCCGGTTAGTGTTTCACAGCACTTACCCTCACCACTCCCGCTGGTCATGGAAGCTGAGTGACTTGGTTAGCTCCTGGCGTTAGCGGGTGAGTGCGCGAGAAGAGATTAGTGAGTGACAAGAGGTGTGTGATAGCGAACGGTTGGCCCTGTAGGTAGGTAAGTGAGGAGATGGGAGGGTTCAAGTGTGATGCAGTGAGAGTGAATGAGTGAACAGTTGAATGAGTGATAAACCTAGTGAATGTGTGAGTGAGGGTGTTCACGTGTGATATGATTAATAGCTAAATGAGTGATTGTGTGGGTGAGCGAATGATCGACTGAATAGGTGAATAACTGAGCGAGAGAAAATACATTTGGGAGGTAGTTATTGAGTGAGCTTGTGTGGGTGAGAAGATTATTAACCAAGAGGGCGGTTGAATGAGCAGGTGAGAAGGTTCATGTGTGAATCGGTTGGTGAGTGATTGAATGGTCCCCCCGCGGTGGCGAGATGTGAACTACCTTGCCTGGTATACAAAAGGTCATGGGTTCGATCCCGACCCTGACGCCTGTATATTTGGAGTTTGCATATTCACCCTGTGGTCACGTGTATTTTTTTCCTAGTCCTCCGGTTTTTCCCTCCACATTTAGAAATATGCGTTTTGAGTATTTGGCTGCTTTAAATTTACACAAGGTAAGCCACTTCATTGAGCTACTGTTTATGTCCAGGTCACCTCTGAAAAAGAGATATATAGCTCAGTGGGCCTTACCTGGTAAAACTAAAATAGTTTAGTTTAGAATGGATTGGCGAAATGCAAAATTAATTAATGAGTGAGTGTGTGGGTGAGCAGATGATCAATCACCTGGGCAGGTCACATGACCCTCTTTTTCCCCAACCCGCGTGCGACGCAGGTGGTCGCCCACACACGTGGACGATGGTGAGCTCCACGTGCCTCTCCCTGCTCACCGAGCTCGCTCACCGTCTCGTCGCCCGCCAGGATCTGCCCACCAACCAGCTGTCCAAGGGCGGCCTCCCGGGCCCAGACGCTCCTGACCAAGCCTGCCTCCCCGGTACCCAATAACAACAAACAGCAACAACAATGCTCGCGTTTAAAATGGTGCTCCCGTAACGTAGCAAACGTCTTGGAGCGTTATCCCATACATACGGAAGAGATGGAATCCACCCTTTGCCGCGCAGCCTTCTCCTGGCGAGCCCAGGGTACAGCGAAGGTCTTTTTTTTTGTGCGATCGCAGCTTGTGATCGTTACCGGTGCCCTCCGCCCACCGACCTACCGACGGTTTCCTCCCACCGCAGGTTGCACACCGCTGCACATGCCGCACGCCGCCAGGATGCGCCCCCTGGTGCAGCCGCTGCCCCCGAGCGTCGCGGGGAGGCTCGGCCCTGCCCAGGCCCCCTCCACTCCGGCCGACCTGCGCCTCCCGCCAAGCCCGCCGTTCACGCCGGACTTGGGTGGCGCAGACATGGGAGCCGGTGGTGGCGTCGGTCAAGTAGGAGCGGTGATGGAGTTGCCGCTCAGGCCGCAGCTGGATCTGGGCTCGCCCTGGCACGGCGCGGTGCAGAGTCCCCACCTCATGCGCCGCGGTCCCCGGCTGTGGTCGTCCACGTCGCCCGGTGAGCAGTGGGCGTGGGACGAGCCGCGGTGCGACGGTTTGTGGTGGGGTGAGACGTTTGTGCGATGGTTCGCCGTGGTCGTGGTTTGATTCCGTTTAGGATGCCTCGTGACCATCATGTGACCATCCATTGATGGGACAGTTCTCAACGTTTGACGTTTCGTGATGTGACGAAACAAAACACTTCCTGAGAAATTCGACATATATCCTATTGTGTACATCATAAAACAAATATACTTGCTCATCTTGTTCAATAACCGTATCACGAGCCTTAAGAATAGAACTATGCATTAATGATGCACTTCTTTCGCACCATACATAGCTAACCGTATTAATTGGAGGTGCAGGGGAATGAGAACAAACTAACACCAAAAGCAGTTAGAAAGAAATGAGTTTTCAATATAGATGATGTACAAGTGGATAGCCCCAGTGGCTTCCTAACATCAAACGGAAGAGCATTCCAGACGGCGGTGGAAGCACATCTGAAAGCGCCCAATGCAGTGACCGTCTTTGTTCGATTGCTGGCTAAAAGCCGCTGCTACTGCGAGGATGACCGGAGTTCACACGTGATGGTTTATGCTCCTTGATGAGGTCAGGACACGTGCGCGCACACGGGCACTGCTAGAGCATGGCCCCAACAGTATGTAGCCAACCGTGTTAACCGGAAGTACGAATGGATGCGAATGGATGGATGTATCCTCGCGCCAATTGACGCATGGTGGATTAACTTTTTTTCTTCCCCCCCACCATCAGGGATGGCCTTCATCAAGGGATCATTCGCGATGGCTGATGATGAAGGTGGGGACGAAGTCACGTGAATGCAGTGTTGCTCATGTGCTGCGCTGTCCGCCCCCTGGCCCGTGCTGTTTCACGCTTTTAGTGTCGTCTCTGTTGGCGACGCCGCCGCTGCCGTCTCAGTCGCCGCCCCAGCAGAACACCGCAGCTCCTGATTGGCTGGGACAAAAGTGGGATCAGGTGACCATTGTGTGATTACTTAACGCGTCGTTGTCTTGGTTTTGAAATTAAAATGTCGCCCGTAATTACAATTGCTCTCATCTTTTAGCTCAACCTCTCGTGTCTGTCCGATATAATTGGGGAGCTTCATTCATGGGAAAAGCGACTTTAAAGCAGGGGTGAGGAACCTTTTCCCTACTCGGGGCCGAACAGGGCCACACGTTGACTCATGCTCTTCGGTCACCGCAGTTGCTGCAAGAGGCCCTTGCAGCGACAGAAGCACAACTTTGCTGCCCAAGTTCCAAAATATTCCCCCTCTTGAACCTTTTCAGTGTGGCCAAGATGCTCACAACGATGAATGTAAATGTATGTATGTATGTTGTGCGAAAGAAGTGCATAAATGTATCACATCCCATTACAGTGCAACTCATTATTTTCCCAGTAATCCCAACACGAGATATTGCGCGTGCCAGATGATTGGTAAACACAAACGGCTGCAAAGTGGCTAATCGCAAGAACTCTAGTTTGCAAAACACAATGAGTGAACAACCACCGTTTTTTTTACTGACAGTTTCTGCTGATAATATTTTTTTACCGTTTTTGCTTTTGTCAGGTCAAGAACTACGGCAGCAAAGTTTGGCCAGTGTCATATTTCGTGCACAAGGTAAGGTTTCTTAGAGGATCATTGTTGGCAATCTGGCGACCCTGCACTGAGCTGCTGGCATGCCTCCGACGCGAGTTTGAAGCTTCCTTAACGTGCGCTTGGACTGGAATGTCACGGTCAGCGTCCGTCGTGGTTCTTCGGCAGAACGTCGACGCAACGGACGTCGTACGTGTCCAGCCCATTGCCAATCCGCCAAAAACCGGCCAAATCCATCATAGGGCTGCCCAAGACCTGCTTACGTAATCCGGCGCACAAAACAAAAATCGCACAGTAATGCATTCTGCCCGGACAGCCTAACCCGTTGGCTCTCGTTCCGCTAATTAAATACTTCCGAAGACAACTGCATGTTGGAAAGTGTTACAGGAAGCGTTGCACAATATCTCGGCGTGTGCGCGGGGTTCCTAACGCCTCGTTTGTTTTTGTTCTCCGCTTTTCGTGCGTCAGCTGCCGGAGTCGTCGAGCCAAGCGCTGTTTGCCGACTGCCAGGCACACATTTGGGCGCTGGAGGGTACGAAACCAGCCCGCCCCCCCATCCCCCTGCGTCGTTCCTCCACCACACTCCCCTACACCACCCCCCCCCCCAGCTCGCAATACTCACCGGGCACACACGCAATCGCCTGGCGCGTATTTTTTTTCTCTTGTTTGCAATCATCTAAACGCAGTTGCGTCGTGTGGCAGATCGTTCATGCTGCACGCAAGTCTGCGTACAGCCCCTTTGTCCGTCCGCCGCTGGTCCACTTCGTCGGGGTTGTTTAGACTGTCTCCCCACGGCGGTTAGCGAAGGTTCACGAAGTCGTGCAGCGTAAGATGTGGGAGCATAGAAGTCGAGTGCAACGGTCGATTTTGCCACACCGCCCTCTGCTGCTCACCACGTAGCTCCGCAGCCTGTAAAACAGACTCGAGGCTGTTTTATGGTTGTATTTATTTTTGATGAATTTTGAATAACTGAGTGGCAGCCAAAGAGAGGGAACATGCCCAAAAGGACCTCCGCTGTGGAGATGGAACAGTGACATCGGCTTGTGTGCAGGTTCTGGATGGATTGTCGCATCGTGGAACCGCACGGTACTGCAACAGCTTAGGAACGCCTTCATCCAGCAGTGGGTTGGTCATGGCTGATGATAATCATGGCTAGTCGATGAGGTAGAAACTGAGGGAGATGCCGCGTTTAATGCACTATGGGTTATTTGTACCACCGTTGGTGGCCGAGCCGAGAGCATCTGCACGTTGCACGCAACACCTTGGTTTAATAACGAGGCAGTTGAATCCTGGGATGGAACCCAAGATTTTGGCGTTGTTGGCCGAATACTCCGACACGGCCATTTTGATCCCCCTTGGGAGACTCTGAGCCACATTTGGTGCGTTTCGAAGCACCGAGCCCAATCGCGCGTGGGTGGTTGGGAGGGCGTTACTGTAATACATATGCGCACATCTAGGCAGGGGGTACAAAGGTGAAACCACAACAGCAACATGGGTGGAGCGGTGGCGCAGAATCTCGCGCGCTGCTATGAACCCGGCAACCCGAGTTCGAATCCCAGCCACGGAAAACAATGGTGGCAAAATGATAACCAGAACCGGTCCTGAGGAAACTCTTCACCTACCCACACTTACCAGCGTGGTGAAGTATGGTCAATAAAGTCCCCATGACAGACACGGCGATGGCGAGGACTTTATCCGTCACTGGATTGCCAAATGGCCTGTACGTTATATATTATTGTGAAGAACAACATCCTTGTACACATCCTTCATGCGTGTGTCGCTCGAGCGTGTTTTAGAGCATTCGGCTGCTTAGAAATGTCCACGTGATAAGCCGCCACTTCGTTGGGCTATCATTTGTGAGATTCATCTTCCACGAAGCTGCTCGTGATCCACCCTAAATCGCATCCACTGCACAAACCATGGCCGTAGGTGCGGATACCTGATGATGCAGAAATGGAAAATTTTCAACTCTCCAGTACTGTGTGACTGGCCATCCAGAACAAGACCGTACAACGTATAACGGCGCAATGCCCCAATCAACAAATACGAAGGAGGCATCACAGAGATGACACTCTCTGCTGCTCCTGACGCGGTTGTCTGGTTTGACCACCTGAATGCAGTTGTTGCTCTGCATCTACATCAGCAGCCATACGGAATAAGAATGTATCTTCTGAAAAATAGCAATATAGTTGAGTGGGCCTTGCCTGGTAAAATAAAATTGAAAGTTTTCGGTTAGTTTTAATAGTGTGCGTCGGTGGAAGTAACTAATACGGATAAGATTTGAGATGGTTATTCTGTGAGTGCAGACGCTGCTGTGGTGTAACGGTTAGCACGCTGGACTTGCAAGTCGCACAGATGGCCGGTTCGAATCCATCTCCAAGCGCTGCAGTTGAAACGATGGTGCAAGTGTCTTAAATTCTTCCCCCGACCCCCTCAGATCTCTCCACCTATCAAGTATAATCAGGTACCACCACAGTTCGTGGATCAGCAGGTTACGTGTGGTATGTACGTATGTACGTTGAACTTCTTTCACACCGTACATAGCCAACTGTGCTCATCAGAGGTGTGGGGGGGGAGGTGGACAACAAGCGAAACATGAAAACGAGTTATAAAGAAACGAGTTTTTAATATTGATTTAAAATAACGTCATTTGCCTCCAAATATCGGAAGGAAGAGTGTTCCAGACGGCCGCAGGGGTGCATTTGAAAGTGCGCGATGCAGCGACCGTCTTTGTTCGATGGCTAGCCAGAAGCTCTTGGCTGCTGCGAGGATGACCGGAGTTTGTGTGATGGACTATACTCCTTGATGAGAAAATTCTCCTTGACGTGGTGGAGTAAAGTGTGAGCGCACCCACCTCTTCCAAGATGTCTGGTCAATGTCAATAATTAGGCCAAACGCCCTCTCGAGAGGGTCTTTCGAGAGTTCCTTCTAATGGTGGTTCTTCGCCCAGCAGTGGCGTGAGCGAGCAAACGCAGGGCTGCACCTTTGACTTTTATGCCGTGACTAAAACCTGCTCTGACTTCACGTGTTGTCTCGGGAAACAAGTGGTACGTTGTAATCACTGCTAAAGCTCGTGAAAAAACGAACCGAAGCCTGGAAATTAATAATGCGCATTGTAGTTGGCTTTTCAAATGAATGACGGCACGAACCAGAGGAGTGTTTTCTTTGGCAGTCAACGCTGCCAACAATGGCACATTGTCTCAACAGTTTTGCCGTACAGTGTGTGTTGTGCCGTGCAGCGCCGCACACAAGTAGATGGATTCCTGTATGATGTGGAGCCGTGCGTGGCTCGCGCTCCGCGTTACGGTCTCGGCCACCTGGGTTCGATTCCCTGCCATGGATAACCATCAAGTTTTAATTTTCAAGTGCGGCCTCTCTCCGTGTCTGGCGAGCCGAAAATGATTTTCGCACCTTGGTTACAACATCAAGTGTACTACTGACTGGCTCAGTCACGTGTCACCTAATCTAGTCTGCTAGGGACCTAGAAAAGATTTCCGCACTCGTTGCACCACATCCATCTTCTTTGGTTCTTTCGGTAAGGTCACGTAGAATGAGAATAAAATAACACAAAATTCTCACGACGATGCACCACATCCAGTTTACCCCCTCGCTATTCCTGCGGCTAGTAGTCATGCGCCACCTACGTTTAGGGCCTTTATATTAATCTTTTAGTTTTTGTTGTTGTGCTCAAGCACCACCACGGATCTCCCTTGGGAATAGCAGGGCAACTAGCTAAAGGGGATCGTCATCCGTGTGACAAATAAAATAATCTTAAACCCATATTGGTCTGTCAGCGATCTGGAAAATATTCAGTGATAAATTAAACTCTGGATAATATCAATGGCAGATCCTGGACTCTTTTAGGTTGCATCAGCCTTACACGAGTACCTGCTGCTATGTGTAAACATCAGAACTGGAGAGACAAGGTGGCCAGGCACATCACCTGACCGTATGTGGTGAGCGGCCTTCATAGGTGCTCGTTAAGAACTCTTGGCTACAAGAGAGATCTGTCATTGTTTGTGTGTATATATGTGTGTGTATGTTTAGTGGGGAGCGGTGGTGTAGCGCTTAGGGCGCTGCGCGATGAATCCGGCGACTCGAGTTCAATTCCCGCTCATGGCCAACACCAGTGACAGTTATCTGAACCGGTCCTGGGCTTCCCCTAGGTCGACTCGGCCTCAAATGAGTACCTGGTGCGGTGTGTAACCATTGCCACGAGGGAGACAAAGGCGGCCAGGTGTGGTATTGGCCACCCATCCCCTCTTGTGCCGTGCCGGCTTTCATAGGTGCTCACAAACAGCACTTGCCCCAACAATCTGTTTAGGCTATATGGGTGACCTTTGTATATTAGTGTGTGTGTGTGCGTATATGTGTCTGTGTGTTTGACGATGAAGCTCTCTCACATCTGGTGGCTGCATCGATCACCGAGGACAGGTTTGGGGTGGTGCAGACGCGACTCTCGGAGATCCTGAATGCCATGCTGGCCCTGCAAGATGTGAGTCACACCCCACAATTCATCCATTGAAGCCAATCCCTGTCAGTGAATCGCATTTCACCAGTACGTCAATGGCATGTGTGACATCACCACGTCACCCCCCCCCCCCCCCCCATACTCGCTCCCTTGGCCCCCAATGCAATGCCGGATGGACTTGACGATCACTTTAGCACGTTAGCTTTCGTGACCTATATTATTCATAATACAGTTAAAACCTTGGATTGCGAGTAACTTGCTCTGCGAGTGTTTTGCAAGACGAGCGAAAATTTGTAATAAATTTAACTTGATAAACGAGCGAGGTCTTGCAATACGAGTAGTACGTATACGCTTTTGTCTGCCAAGCGTCACGTGATCACAACTGAGCCGATGGTTCTTCTCTCTCTCTCGCTGCGGGATTGTGGGTAATCGTTTCTCATGCTCGGTCTCAGTCGGCGTGCCTCACTCGTATAGTCAACATCCGTGCGAGCGTATACTGTTTACTATAGTGTTGTGACCACGTGTGTGTGCGTAAAGCATTTTTTTTATTTTGTGTCCAAGTGTAGTGACTGTTCTTTAGTAACTGTACTGCAACAATGGCCCCCATGAATAAGGCTGTAGCAGTGCGAGCGATTAATCTGTTTAACGACAATGCAATGTCACATTTCCGCGAAGTCCTCAAAAGGAGGCAAAAGCAAGTGTCATTGGATAGGTTCCTTGTTAAAGTCGCACAAAAAGACAGATTCCAGTGAGCCAACAGATAGCAGTGGTTCCGTTAGTGACAGTGAAAGTCGTCCTACACAATAACCCTCCTCTCTCTCGTCTCTCTCACACCAGCCACGATTAAATTTAATTAATAAATTGTATTACTTTATATTAAATTTAAATAATACAAATGTAAAAAGGTATTTTGTATTAATCATTTTTATATGAATATTTTTGGGTTGTGGAACGAATCATCTGAGTTTCCATTATTTCTTATGGGGAAATTCGCTTTGATATACGAGTGCTTTGGATTACAAACACGTTTCCGGAACGAATTATGCTCGCAATCCAAGGTTTTACTGTACATGTTTTTCGGTTAGATCGCGTAAATATAAATGTGTAGTTAAAGCTGCCACCACCCGACACAGCCATTTAGCAAGGTTTGTCACATAAAACATGTAAATTCGTTACTAGTACAGCACACTGGTGTGTTGGAGAATAAACCCACAACATTTACATTTCACAATCACTATTGCGGTCTTCAAGATCCTCCATGGACTTGGCAATTTCTACCACTCCCCTCTCAACTTAATCTACTCCGATCCACGTGCTCGCCTACCTCTCCCTCATCTCATTATATTCCTCTACACTCTCCCACCTCTCCCCTGTCATCTCACTCTACTCCCCTGTTTCAGTACAACATCTTGAGAATTTTGTCTTCTTTATATTTATTCGCTGGTGAGCAGGTCATGTGACGACACGTACCCACCAATCGCAGCCACTGGAATTCAGAACTTGACATTACCGCCCCTCCCTCATCCCAGCAATCTGCCACCGCCCTTGGCAAATACCTGCCGTGCCTACGTTGCCGAAAGCTGGCACTGCTAGGGCCCTCGCCAGTGTTGGCCATCACCTTCCTTTCCACATCTTTGTAGCCCCGTGCCAAGGGGTCCCTCCAGTCCATGGGCCTCTGTGCAGTTGCACCGCCTGCGCACACTCGAAAGCTGCGCGAGAAACTTTAGAAGCCGGATCCTCCGTTCTGCCCGTGACCTAACCTCTCGTGTCCTGACCCCTCCCCCCCCCGCCCGCAGGCCGTTGACCGCCATTTCAAGCTGCCGCAAGCGCCGAACCGCCCGGCACGACAGGCGCACAGCCTGGTGGACTCGTCGCACAAGAACCTGCGCTTCGCTCTGCGCGCCGCTCTCAAGACGGCGGTCTACCGCGTCGCGTCCACCTTCGGCGAGCACCTCAAGTGAGACCAACAACTTGGTGTGCCCTCCTGTGTGGCACTCATCGTCATCATCATTAGCCATGATCTATCCACCAATAACTTGGTGTGTGCCCTCTTGTGTAGCTATTCATTATTATTATCATCATCAGCCATGATCTATCCACTGCTGGATGCAGGCCTCCCCAAGGCCTTACCATCTCTCACAGGCCTGTGATCTTATCTTATTTTAATTTATATCGCGCCTTGAGCAAGGCGCTGAACAAAGAAGTAACTATTTGTACAGCAGAAGTGTGATGAGATGAGGCGAGTTGACAAGAAGGATGTTCGTACATGAGTATGATGATGCGTGAAATAAACGATGATGACAGTGGTTAATGACGACCGAGTGTGATGAATGGGCAGGGATGTTGGTCAAGGGGATGACGGTGTTGATGATGGGGAAGGGAGGGGGAAGAGGCGTTTGGGTAAGCTTGGGGAAAGTTAGTGAGTTTTAAGTAAAGAGCAAAAAATGGACAGAGAAATGTATTCATAATATAGGTTTTTTTGAGTGAGATCACGTAAGTAAATACTAATGGATATTGGTCGCGAAAGCCTACGTGTTAAACAGTGGCACTTATTGTTTGATATGTGTGGACAGTTTTCCCGCACCTCCGATTAGCACTGTTGGCTACGTATGGTGCGAAAGAAGTTCAACATACATACAATGCGGCAGTCCATCTAGCTCCTGCACACGAACTGATTTGATGGCTCCGTCTCCTGTTGTGGATGTTCTCTCGAGCGTGTTCGCCACTTCTGGCTGCCACTCCATCGTCCTTCACCATCGCCAGCCGCCATCCTTTTTCGTGACGCGTCCCACCCATGCCCCCTTACCTTTCTTGACGGACAGTACGACGTCTCTGACTTGCGTTGGCACTCTTAATTCATCTCTTGCCCTTCTATCTCATGTAATTTCAAGCACACGTCTTCTCCATGCTTTGCACACTTTTAAGATTTTGTTTTCTATTTCCTTCGGCAATATCCATGTTTTTGATCAAAGTAATCGACGGTAACATATATCCATGTATGTTGACCTTCTTTTGCACCGTACATAGCCAACCGAACTGCGCTCATCGGAGGTGTGGAATAAAAAAACAAATGTAGGATAAGAAAAACGTCCTGCTTTGTGCACATCGCTACTTTGCTTTTCATCATTAATTTCAGTTTCCCAAAAGCACTCCAACCTGCTCCTGTTTCCACCTCTGTTCCCTCCCTTTGCAGCTCCGTGCAGGTGGCTCCCGAGTATCGGCGAAGGCTACAGATGTTTCTGGACTACAAGGAGTAAGGTGCCTCTGTGCATCCCACATTGAGGCGTTGGACCGGCTGTACGGATAGAGATTTTTTGACGATGGTGGAGGTCACTAACGATGAATATATCACCCCTTCCTGCCCTCCACCCCCCCCACCATGTCTCACTCACCGACCCCCCCTCCCACTCTGCCGCCCACCCCTCAGAGTGTTGGTCACAGCCAGCAGCTCGAACTGGGCTATTGAATTATTTAAGTCAGTGATTACTCTACCGATTGTTGTTTCAATTTATCCAGCTAATCAGAAAGCACAAAAATAATTGGTGGGGAAAACACAGTCTCGCCTCTGTGCCCGTGATGTGTGGGACTTGGTGATGACCGGTGGGTATCACCAACCCTGTCACGCTGGCCGTGGATTGTGGGGTTTCTCGCCTTCAGAAAAGAAAGCTGTTGGGGGGTAAGCTGCCATTTTTAAAGGAGCCTTGGGTAATCGACCACGAAAAAAAAGTAGTTGATTAAAATGTTTTCGTCGATTGAGAGCCGTTTGATTGACGAATCCGTCCCAAGCCGCCCCCGCGCCAGCAGCTCGCTTGCTGCTGTGCACCACCGCGCCACCTCCTGGTGTGGATCAATGTCACCGCCACAGGGCCTTCTCTGAGCCTCACCCACTCGCAGGTGTTGCTTGTTGAGGTACGATTCTCCTGCTGTTCCTACGAAGTCTGGAACTGGCTTCCCCTAGCGATCGGTGCTGTCAACTCCCCCACTTCTCTTCATGTCCAGACCTTATCTGCCCATGACTTACTGCCAGTGTCTCAAATAAATATGCCCACGTTCTGTACAGTATCTCGAGATGCGGTTGTATTTAGAATGCACCCATGTATTGCATAAGCGTGTCTATAACTCTATATAGTTATTTGTATGACTTTACGTAAGTACAGGTTCAAGACCTTTTCTTTTATTTACCTGTGGCTGAACGCCTCTACATAATACATGTCTCTATATGGCGTCTTCCAACGCGCTCACATATAGAAGCATTTAAAGCCACATTGCGTTATGCTGTAATGGTCAGGATAAGTTTTGGCCTGTGTGTTGTACATCAACCCTACCCATTCTTTGGTAGGGTTGATGTAGAGTTAAGCTTGTATGGTTCAGGTTGGTAGTGTCCGTAGGTCTGTACTTGATTACTAGGCTTGTGATGATTTTGAGAATAAAATATAATTTCATCATGACTCTCACATCTAATTCTGCGCGCAGGAATAGAATATGTAAGATTTATGCAAGTTCTAACTAGATGAATGGAGTGAATTCGTTCAAAACGCATTATTTACAGACAATGCTCGATAATCTGGCCAGATTTATGTGGATTGTACATTAATCATGCTTATACTCACCTTTGTATGCATGGTGGTTTAATTAGTGCGAATGAAGTTCAACATCCATCCATACATGCATAGTAGCTGCTCCTCACTCATTGGGGGTCAGCGTCTCAGTGCCTGAGTGACTGCCAACATGTCAGTCCGTACACTGATAATAAAAACAATTAACATTCTACATTTTATGTCTTACTCCCCCCCCCGCCACAACCTTTCTACATTGGTAAGCAATATAACATGCTTTCACAGCCTAATTTACACGCATCTTGTGCTATCCGCGGTTTTTGTATTATATGGGGCCACCCATTCTGGCCGACAACCCCGGATATTCGAGAGTTGACTGTAGAATAAATGAGACCGACGATGCAACGTTGACAAGTAAAAGGAAATTATTCTCGAATTGAATTGTGACCCCCACGTCGTTATAATTCATATCATAGATACGAATCGTCGCCTGCCGACTGTTAACAGCACATTCAGATTTCAAGTATTATTTCTAAACGTGTGGATCCTGTTTGTCGAGTGAGCATGCTTCCAAACCACTCGTCTGACCTCCAAAAGCCAAGCAGCGTTCAGCCTTGATAGTGCTTGAATGGGTGACCACAGGACGTGTTATAGGCTGCAAGGGTCATGTGGTGGGCAGCAGAGGGCAGTGGCAGAAAAATTAATTGTGCCTTACAGTTGCTGGCGTTACTGTGCGTTCCCATCTGTTGATGGCCCTTAATTTATCCAGGCATGGGCCAATTGAGATTCAACATCTCTTTTGCAATTAGGGCTCTTGGTAACTGTAGCAACCTAGCAGTAGTTGCCTTATTATTTTGGGTTTAATGTAAAACTTGTGTCTTTGGCTGCAACACAGGAATAACATGTCTACTCTTTGTAAAGTTGATGTCACAGGTTTGTGTGAAATCTCCTTGACAACGAGTGATGGTGCAAAAAGTTAACAAATGTCTGCGTAAATGTACATATTTTTTGACTTGTCAGATTTTTATAAGCTTTGCAGGGTCCCACCGTGCGATGCCATTTTTGGGTGTCGTACATCCTCCAATGTCCATCTAACGAGAGATGGACACGAGATGGACACGAGATGGACAGCGGGAACGGTCATTCGTAGAGAAAGATTGAGGGTTCTGCAATACCGAACTTGTGACAGTAACAGAGCTCATTGGCCACTTGCATAAAACACTTAAGTCACGGGTGGCTAACCTTTGATTTACCGAGGGCTGTTCGAACTTTCAAATCCCTTTCGTGAGTAACCACACATTAGTCGATACTGAAGTTAGATTATGCGAGGGCTGTGTACATTTAATGTCCTTGGAAATACTTGAGAGGCAAGAGGTCACGTCGCCAAACATTATGAACAGCGCTGGCAGGAGCTTGATAACGTTTTGCCTTGGACACCCACTTCGTTGTCGTGAAGGTGTTTGCAGTGATGGTTAAACAATGTGTTTTTTTGCACGTTTTGAATCTCAAGGTTTCGTTGGTCCAACGTTCCATTTTTTTTTTTTTACTGGGACGTGGTCACGGGCGGTATGAAAAATGTTTCATCTCGACAACAGGCCCATACTTCCCCCTCCAAATCATTACTTTGATTGACATCTTTAACTGGTTTAGTAGCTAAACTGAGAGGGGAATTGCACTTACTGTGTTTTATGCATGAGGCCACAATGTTTGATGGACTTTCAAAATGAATAAGCGTGGGACTTTATATTCACGTGTTTCACGAGGAAACATTTGTATTAAATGTATTTCTGTTTATTGTTGGTCGGTTTTCAATGCCAATATTGTTTCATTTTAACTCTTTACTCCCACTTTGACTAATAAACATTGCTATAATGACCATTGATTGAAATGTAGTTTGTTTTCATTGTACTGTTGCGATTAACATTCGTAAAGATGTGTTTTGTATCGTGCTGATGAGGGGAGTGGTGGCGCATTGGTTAGCACACTGCGCTGTGAAAAATGGACCCAGGTTCGATTCCATGTCACGGAAAATACATGTGGCGAGTAATATTTGAACCGGTCCTTAATCAATCCTCATTGACCAATTTGGAAAAGTTTATGGACCAACAACCCCCATGACAACCAAGTTGTGAGGAAGACGACTATCTAAAAGTGATAAGCTGCTCAAAGGAAAAAACTTGACTTCGTCAACAAATAACGTATGAACCGTAATGTGTATTGTACTTACTTACTGAAGCGTCGTTTTAATAACTTTATGAATTCAATCCCTACTTTTAAAAAAAAACTTCAACGTATGGCATATTATATTCTTGGTCCTTTCGGTAAAGTCACGTTGAAGGGAAACAAAGTTTCTAAAGTTGTAAAATTTGGCTAAGTTAAATAAGGTTAGAATAAACCGTGTAGAAATGTCACTTAGTTGGACAACCGTTTATTGCATTAATTTAAATGGAATGTTAAATGTGTTTTCAATCGTAAACGAATTCGACAAATTATCTAGTTGTGATGCTGCTGCTGTTCGCAGTGGCGTACAATTAACAACTCAACACACTCGTCGTCAACGACACAGCTTTAAAAATATATAATAGGCGACGTTTCGGGCAACGCCCCGTATTTCAAGGCAATATTCTTGTGTGGAATTTTTTTTCCTCTCCTCGAAGGGGTTGCCTCGTGCGCGCCCACGCCGCCCTTTTCCCGCCAAGTGTCACCTCCCCCCAGCCCCGCCCCTTCCCCCCCCCGCCAGCCCCGCCCCTCACCACCTCTCGGGGTTCCCCCTCCCACCGCACCGCACGCGCCACCCTTCTAGGGCACTTAACGATTCATCGAATACATAAATATAATTGATTCCTCACGATCCGTGCGTCGAATCGCGCGTGCAAGCGGCGACGTGCAGCGTTTAAAAATAAGCCCATATCACTATTGTCGTGCCGCTGTAATATAACTTACAGTCCGTTGAAGGGATACATTATTTTTTTTGTTTGCACGTAAATTTAAACGCGTTCAACATTTTCTGCGTATCGATTCCGTCCGTCTTAAAGGATTTGTTCGCGGGCGCGCGGAGTCGATTACGAAAGGAATTGCTTACGTCGCCAGCCCTAACCCGGCCCCCCCCCCTCACCACGCCCCCCTCACCACCCCCCCCACTCCCCCTCCCTTTCGCCACGCATCACTTCCACTCACGTCGCGCAACGCATCCGCCGCGCCGAAATAATCCCGACGCCCCGCCGCCGACAAAACGACGACGGGGCGGCCCGGCGAGCCGGGCGACCGCGACGTTCGACGCCCGCTGACCTCGCGGGATTATTCGACGCGTTCGGATTGAGGCGACGGGCGCGGGCGGTTCTGGCGAGTGCCCGCGCAAGGGTAGTGAGGAGGCGCGCTTATAGCAACTGTTGCCTGGAGGAGGGCTCCATAGCCACCGTAGTCGTGGAGACTGCGTAACCAAGCCGTCACATCCCAGGTGATTTTTTTTAAAACCGCGGCGGTTTTGCTGTGGGGGTTTTTTTTCTCTCTCTTCCCCGCTTTGCTTTAATTTTTGTATTCAACAATTCTCTCTCTCTCTGTCTCTGTCTCTCTCGTTCATTTTTCTCGTCGTGGGGTGGTGGGAGGAGGCGCCGCGGCGGCGGCGGCGGTGGCGGCGGCGGCAGCGTCGGTCGGTCGAGCGAGCGGCGTGAAACGATAGAAATGAAACGTCAAGTTGCGTGCTGTCGCCGCGAATCGGAACGACGCGATGGTGGGTGGAGGAGGAGGAGGACGGAGGAGGAGGCCGCAACGGCGGCGGCCTCCTCCTCCTCCGTTGTTCGGTGCAAAATGGCGGTGGGCGCTGCGGGGTTGAGGAGGGCGCTCGGCTCGGCGCTTGGAAATGGGGGGAAAAAAAAGCAAAGCGATTCGGTCCCCGCCGTTTCTTGCTAGGAGGGGATTTATTTTTTTCTTCAGTTAGATTTGTTCGTCGGTCGACGTGAGGGCGCGAACGTCGAATGCTGACGAAGCCGAGGCGCTGGCTCGGCGATGGAGGGGGGGTTGGGGTGGGGGTGTTTTTGTTGTGTTGGGTTGTTGTGTTGTCGCGCGCGGTGGGTTGTTTGATGGTGTGGTTGGACGATGGTGGTCGCTGGTGGTTGTTGGGGGGGCCTCCCACAACACCACCACCACCCCCCCTCCGTGTGTTGTTGTTGCGACGAGGGGCAAGGTGGCCGCGACTAGGCCGCGGGCGTCGACGCGTTACGTAGCGACCTCGCCGCCTGCCTACGACGCGATTAATCGTTAACTATTATCGTCTTTGCGTCTGCGAGTGATGTAAACAGCGAGTATTTATTGTTTCGGTGATGACGCCCCGTTGGTTTATGGCGGGCTTCCCCACGGCCAAGTTTTGGAAATTCCACGTTACCATGGCGGAAGCTGGGTCGCGCGATTGCTGTAAACTTCGTAAAGTGGTGCTCGTTCTTGCGATCCCCATCCCCGAAGGATGATGATGGTGATGATGATGTTAGTCGACCCTCGGGGCCCGTGTTGTGATTGCGCGTTGACCAGAGACGACACTTGGTCGTGTTAATGAACTCGTAGCCGGATACCCCTTGATTTCTGTCGGCTGTAGTGTCACTCTCCACGCGAGGCGAATTACTCGGTTCACAGATGTTGGCGGTATATTTGTAAATGTCTTAACGCTAGACTTAAAACGATGTGTTATAACTTTATGCTGCCCTCCGTATACCTCTATAAGTGAAACCAATCAACCCGCGTGCAATAATTTTAGTTTTAAGTTACAAGCGTAGATGTGAGTAGGTTTGTGCCAAATGTCATTGTGCGTCCGTCACTCAGTCACAATAGTCCGTATGTTAGACTATCCTGCCGCAATGATTATTACTAGCTGATTAATTAGGCATGGGCTCCGTTACTATGGTCCTGTTGACAGTGTTAATTTACTAAGATTATACTGAGACAACAACTATGATAGGTGGAATTTAAAAAAACCGAACGGATTCGCTTGGTAATGTTTTCAAAACTTGTTTCTACCTTCACACGGTGCGTTTGTGCAAGCGCCTTCGCGTTGAAAATGCCGCTAATAATTAAATGAGTCGGGTGTTTACGTCTCGTCTGTAAGAGGTTTAAGTTCTGACTGCGTTTCGAAAGCAAGAGTGAAACGCTGTGATGCACCTGTTTGATTTAAAGGTGTGAGACGCGCAAGCGGACTGTGCGTGTGCGGGCGGTACTGGCACGTCCGGGTTTAGCTTTGAGACGTTTGCTGTCAAACGAATGTCGTTTGCATTTAATGTTTAATTGCAGCGTTCTTGCCGTGATAGGATGCGAAGTTTTTAACTGTTGCCTGCTATTATTTTGAGTCACGGAGTCCTGCTACGTGCTGTCTTGGCGACTGGATAAGTTGCACCGCTTTAAGATTAAGAGATGGGGAGAGAAACCAAAAGCACTGTACAGTTCAGCCCTTTAATTAATCCACTGCTGGATAAAGGCTTCCCCGCGCCGTGTCGATCAGCGGAGTTTGTGGGTCCATATTCCACGACGCTAGCCAGTGTGGCATCTTGAAGGGGTTGTTTGGAGCAGGACCTCAAGAGATATCCCTTGCCACTCATTGCTACGATGAGCCGTGGCAGGGAATCGAACTCGGCTCACAGGATTCATCGCGCGCTAACAATTGCGTCGCGACCCCTCCTTCAAAATGTAACTCGTCCAAAGCCATCCCAACAATGCGTGGCACTGCTGAAACAAGTTCTTGAGACGTCTTCTCCTTCGTCGTCGTCGTAGTATTATTTCTCGAGTAAATAAATGACTTGTAATCACTTGGTGCTTTGTTGCCGCTATGCGTTTTTCGTGCCCGCCGCAAGCACCTGTTGAATGAGAGAGACAAACGCGGCGGGGACACCTGATCGCCCTCCTGAAGCCGACAGACTTGGGGGGGGGGGGGGGGGGTTGGTGGTGCCGCCTACCCCCCCGTCGTATTGTCCGCCGGTTACGCGGTCATCCCCTCCGTCCTTTTTGACGGCTGTGAATTTGAGCTCCCCTCGCTTTTAAGCGTTGTGCACAAACACGACTGTTTATCATCTGTCGATTGCCCTTTGCTTAAGCGGGTGAAGATGCATTACATCTCTTGCGCAAAGTCGAATATATGGCAGGATTTGGTTGACTGTGGTAATAAATGGCGTGTAAGTGCATCGTGTGTTAATATCTTTAGCTTTCTTAATTGGCTTTGTGTTTTTAATGTTTTTGGTACTTTTTGAAATGTAAAAGCACTTATGAAAGGCACGTGGTTTTATTACTTTTGTACCATGTCGGCATATAGGAGTATGCGATGCGCTAATAAACCTGTATGAAAATAGAACTGACTTTGGTGCTAATATGCTTATTGTATAGATGTTATAGGGTTTAGATCGCGTAAGTTAGCAACACACATTCGGTTTAATCTCTTTTGCATTCAAGCCCCCTTCGTCCACGCGCTTTCCTGTATTGTTCTCGCAGTTATCCCCCCCTTTGTAGAGGCGCATTGCCTTTTTGGGCCCTTCCCCCCTCACCTGCCCAAATAAAGGACTGGCATCTAAAATAAAGTGCGAGTGATTTGTGCAGAGCACACGTGTGCAGTAACATGCAGCACTCGAGACGCGAGCAGTGATTGCACCTCAAATACAATAGCAGTTCCATTCATTTTACCCAGGGAAACATCACTGAGTCATAAGCCTCATTTTCAGTGTGGTTCTGCATCCCAATGCGTCCCAGTGCAGAACCCCGCATCCCAATGCGTGTTTTCCATGTGTACCCAGAGAAAACCCTCCGTTATCCTCTCCAAATACTCAAAAGTTCCGCACAGATTCAAGATAATCCTTTGTAAAGTACTCCCATATTATGGAGTAATGCTTATTTTACAAATCTCCCCTACGAGATACTAATAATCGTTAACCTTTTAGACTGCCATTTGATGATTTAAGTTTTTAAATCTTGTTTTCTTCTCAGCATGTCGCATATCGTTTACATACACATGCTAGAAAATACATAATGGTGAATATATACACATCCCCATTAATAGGGTATTCTTTAAAGTGTATATAACACTTCCTTACAGGCTTACACTGTAATAATTATACCATATTATGCAGCAATGCCAAACATCACACGCTGATGAGTGGCCGCTGGAAATGGTGATACCCGTTTTGTTTAATATTGCATGAGGTGCGTCTGAATAATATATGCGCTTATAATTTCAAGACCAGGAGCACTAGTGCACACTGCCAGGTGTTGTGCTCGTAAATTAAGAGGAGGTGGGGGGGGTGGTTAGTTTTGTAAATCTCAATTGAGAGGCGAGCAATATACTTCGAGGAGTATGTCCAACAAGTGGCATTAAAATACCGCAACGCCGTATTTGCGTTCAAAGCCTGAGTGTGGGGAGGTAATTTAGAATTTAAAAAAATCTCCCTCCCAAGGTGATTGGTGGCACATAATAGCACTTGCTTCTTATGCATGCGTTGCGCGGACCGAGCATCAGCCCCTCTGGCACAGTGTGAAGAAGAGCGGCGGCGAGTTGCTGGAGAGACCAAGATGTGAGTGGGCCTAGCAGCAGAAATGCTATGGGGGGGGGGGGTGTGCGGCTGAGTGTGGGATGGCACCATTCCTTTTTGTTTACGGGTGTTGCCATGGAGACACACCCCCCCAGTGCTGCCGTGGGAACAGAAATCCAAACAGGGAAATTATTAACACAGGGCCCCAACCACGTGATTCGCGCACTGGATGCTTCCAGCGCCTGGTTGCCGTTTCCTAGCAACCATTGTGTTACTCGACAATTAATTTCGAATTGTCAAGTTGCCGTTGTTAAGTGTGCGAGTCGTCGCTGTGTCTGTGAGGCGTTTTAATTTGTCGAATTATTAAAGCTGAAGAATTATACTGTTAATCTTTTGGGTTTTTTTTAAATTTCAGGAATTACATTTTTCGGCTGTCTCTGTATCATAGCAGGGCGAGTCTTCTTTCAGCGACTTTGCATGTCACAAGCATGAGGTTTAAGTGAATACAGCTGCTCCATTGTTTTTAAGCTATAGAAAGTTGGTTGCTAGGCAGCGGTTGCCTAGCGAGCATTTAATTGGCAAATCCCCCCTCTTGCACTTGGAATTGGAAAGTAATAGAATGGAGGCTTGACCAAAAGCCAAGCTTTTATACAAAAGCCGCAGCTGGAAACACTCGGCAACAAGCCTCTGTGTATGCCGATTGTGCTCCTTTCTTCTCATTTAATTAGCTAGCGCGGCACTCGTCGCATTAAATCTCTGCAGTGGAACGGGGCCCGGGTTTCCTTCAATGAAGAAACTAATTTGAAGCGTTATCATAATGTCCGCGGAATTTTTCTTAAAAGCCACGGGTCCAATCAAAAAAGTGAGGCGTAATGCGGTTGGCCTCTGGCAAACTTTTGTTTGAGGCATTACGGCGACCTGCGGCGGGCTTCAGAGGCGGTCACGCCGTCCTTGCGACACAAGAAGCTACATTTGTGTTTTTCGATTAATAGAACGTGGATTACTTGCATATTTTGAGCGGCTGATATTACCCAATGGTTTTTGCCACCGAATGCATGCCATCAGTGGATGTGTTGATTTTACACAGTATGCTGTTATAATTATTGCCATATTTTAGACGTGTACCATATTAATAAGCAAATGGTATGGCATAATGCAAAATTAGCTTTGCTTTTTAAAGTCATACCTATATATACAATTTTGATTTAAAGCTTTTGTGACTTCAGGGATTCACATTCTTTACCGAAAGAACCAAGACTATGAATCCCTTCTACGTGACTTTACCGAAAGAACCAAAAATATATATACAATGTTAACTGCCAATATTTTGTTTTATTTCAAGGAATTATATGAGTTAGTAATTACATTGTGATGATTTATGAAATGACAATATGGCCATGTGATGTCTTCTGGTTTATTCAGTAATAAAATATTACCAGGATTATGAATGTTTTTTTGCTCTACCCTGAATACCATCTACTTTAGCTCATATTTAGGTTCTAACAAGGTAAATTAGCTGTTGCATAACATGCATTACATTAAGAGCCAGCTCTCCTTTTTGATGGTATTATTAGGCCTTATGTGTATACTCAATGCAAAGAAATGTAATTTTCTTTTGCACATTTTTTTGCTCAACATTATTTCCACAATGCATACATATGGGACTTATTTAGGTCTAAACAGATTTTTGCACATACAGCCCTTGTCAGTCCGCTCCTGGATGACTGTCCTCCCTGCTGTAATTAATTTTACACCATGCTGGTAACGGGGGTTATTTGACCATTCTTCACCACACAAGTCAGTGCAAGTTTTTTGAAGTTCTGGAGCATAGTTGCACTGCCTTGTCCTGACAACATAACCAGACAACAGCCTGTTTCAGAAATGATAGTGATCCATCCCAAGCAGTATTTCCCGGCTCAACCCTACAAACCTTTCGAAATTTGATGATGATTTTGTCATAAGCCATGTACAATTATCATTGCATTAAATAGTGTTACTTGCATACGGCTTTTTAAGTGTAACTATTCCCTCCACAAGTTAATCTGAAGTGAGACGTGTGATTCACACACTTGGTATTTATGGTGAAAAAACAATATTTACGAGTTTAAATGAATGTGTACCGAATTTATTTTCATCTACTAATGATGCACCTTAAAAGCATGTAAATTACATGATTTGTCACTTGACATTTCACTAGCAGAATGTGCTGAATAGAAAAAATAATGGCACATCTGCACTGTCAAGAGTTGACTTGTCCTGAATCTATCACGAACACTGTTGTTTGTGGTTTCTCTGGGCCCCTTGAAATATGTAATGAGTCTTGTTAATAGATAAAAAAAATTATAAACGTGGAACTGTACCCACAGTAATGCATACATTTGTTTGGCCACTTTTTTATAACCAGCTAAAAAAACAGCAGATGCATGACAAAAAAATCTAAACATTGTGCTTATGCCAAGCCAGTTTTTTTTTATTTGTAGCATCCAAATGTCCATTTCGTTACATCGCTAAATAGTGCTTGGAAAATCTATGATGAATGTTGCAGATTGCACAAGTGCATGGAATGGTTTATCTGTCGTTCCACACCGCACTCAAAGGAGACAAAAGGAAGACGCCTCTTCAAACGGGGTGGGGGGTGGGCTTACATTTTTCTCGAGAAATTTAGCAAGAACAATGCAGTATAAAGCCTGAATAGAACTCTTGGCTGTTTGGTATTTATACTGATTAGCACAGATTAGGTAAATTGGCTTCCAGGAGCAGCGCGGCTCAGCGAGTCGTGTTAAATCCTGTTTAAAATGCCATCTGCTGTAATTAATTTTCATAATGCTGTGGTGTGATTTTGGTTCACCATGGCTTAAGCTTTCTTGGTAAAAGCATCTACGTCCATTTGTTGTGCTCTAGATGAGATGTGCGTGTGGGTTGGGAGTAGCTGCTGCTTAATGTGCCGTACCATCCCATATTAAACCCAGTGAAACCTTAATGGCACAATACAATGCATATTGGTGAACTAATAGGCTGTATGTGAATGGGGAGAGACATGATTTGTAGGGTTTTTTTTATTTTAGCAGGTAAGGCCTACTGGGCTTAATCTCTTTTTCAGAAGCGACCTGATCACAAACTATAGCTCTACTGAGTGGCTTATCACGTGGAAATTTATAGCAAGCAAATACTATAAAGTAATGTTTCTAAGTGTAGAGGGAATAACCGGACGACACGGAGAAAAATCCACGCGACCACGGGGGGAGAACATGCAAACTCTAAATATACAGGTGTTAGGGTCGGGATCGAACCCATGGCCTCCTGTATACCAGGCCAGGTAGTTCACATATCGCCACCGTGGCGAGTTGAACAGGTCAGGGAAATAAGTAAAACTCTGCTGTAGTAAAGTAATATTTTGCAAAGTGAAAAATCAGAAGACAGTGTCCACAGCCAAGGAAATTGAGTTACAGACATTTAGAGCAGTATTGGGAGAAGGGGTCGGCTCCCATTGAGTGATTGTTGTTTATAAAAAGCCTTAATTTGTTGGGAACAGTGAGCAAATAGCTATGGTTTACTTGATATAATTGGCATAAAAATATGGCAATTAACACATGTTGAATATCATTATCCGTAATACCAATTGTCTTACTGTCATGCATTTGTGAATCTCAGTTGTATGATAATAATGTGTATGAATCCGGGAAAGCATTGGAGTTACGTGTAATATATTTTGTTAATATGAATATAAAACCTTATGGAATGGCAGTATGTACCTGCACAACAGAATAATTGTGCGTGATGCCACATTGCTTACAATATTCAAATTCTAACATCTGGTATTTTGTCCTAAGCACAAGGCACGGACATTCGTGCAATTTTATACATTTTTAGTACATTTCTTAGACTTGACACACGCAAATCTAAATAATGAACACCATTAATGTGTTATCAATACGCTACACAGCTAACTGAATTATTAAACAACGCTTTGTAAGTAAATTTAGTTAAATGTTGTGCTGGTTAACGCTCTCAAAAGGCTCCCCCCTTGTAGCGGCGTAAACGCCGCCCTTGGTAAAAGCCACACAAAATTCCCAGGTGAGAGGGGTGGTGTTTTTTTTCCGTGACGAGCTTTCGACAGGGCTGCCACACACCGCCTTACGGGATCACTCGCAAAAAAAAAACGAGAGAGAGGCAGCGGGCGCGGACAGCCTCTCAGCCACTTACCCACAATCCCCAGGGGGCCTATCTAGCAGGCGGTAATTACGGCGCTGCCGTCTGCACAGAATTTGTGGTTCTTAATTTCACCGCAGATGTAGAGGCACGAAGAGCGGGCACCTGGCTCGCGTTTTTATTTTTTATTTTAAAAAAAGCACATCTTTAAACGATATCGCTGCCCGCGACGTCGCGCCATGGAACTTGATAAGTGCGATTACGCTGACGGCGACGGAGCTGAATACAACCCTTTCCCCCGGCATCCGTGAGTCCTTATTCCAGTATTGCCGGTTTGCGCCTATTGGTTAGGCCGCTTGGCTCTGTGTGCACGGAATGGCTTTGTTACCGTTAAGGTTGCCATGGGGTCCTGGCGTTACCATGGCTACAACCTACAACACGTTTAAATCGTTGTTTTTTTGGAAAGGTTGTGTGCTTTTAAATTTAGCGTAATTGTGAGGCGGTTTATTGTATGACCTAGCCTAAGCATATTTATTGTGCAGTACCTATAAAAGAAATATGTCGTCGAGAAAGACGCGATTGCATAACAAGCCTCCCGTTACTGATGCTGTGTTTTTTTGCTTTGTGTTGTCTTTGCGAAGGTCCTAGCAAATGGAGACATGCACTTAAGAGAGGTGTAAATGAATGTATATTCAAATTATGGTCATTTACCTTAGTGTTATAAGCGATGTGCATTTGACTAGTGTGTACTTTATAAATAAGCACATTTCAGTCGATTTGCAATATGTGAAATAATCAGGGTGTGAATTATTTTGGCACATTTTTTGTTTCCACTTCGTACTTACTATAGTTAAAATCATTCATTTGAACAACCTTTTAATTCTCCATATTGATGTTCATATGTTCTTGTGTCATTACCATGACATAGAAATTGTTATAATCCTATGTCTTAGCTTTGGATAAAATGTTACGTAAACATTTTGAGATGGTAATTAATTGTTTTATTCCAAAATCTTTCCTTGCCAAATACCGGTATATTATTTTACTTACACCAGGCTGCATAGTTAGAATTGAATGCTGCCTAAATGAATTGGAGATCAATTACATTAAACAACTTAAGTTTCAAATCTAAACAAATGTGGACTAAGGGAACGTTTCCTTCAGTTGTTTCACAAAACCAGCTACAGGTGTCCACCTCATATAGATGTACAGTATCTAGCACAGCCAAGTCATTGCCTATTACCCATCAGATTTACTCTGCTGACATGAGTGAAGCTACTTTTGCATTTGATGTTATAGAAAATTGTTGTTTTTGCTTGGTTAAGCATAGGCTTCCAAATGCATTTAATCAGAATACTCATAGATTTATTGACCACGTGTTTTATAATGAAAACAGACAGCTGTCTGTCTTTATTATTTGATCACCTCCAGGCCACTGTAACAACACACATTTTGAGGAATGTGTCTATAGTCACTATATTTAATCCACTTGTATGCAAACACTATGCTTACATTTCTCCCATTCACCATCCCACCACTGAAGAGGTCAGCACGCCCTCAACCCCTGCCAGAGAGCATGTTCTTGTATTTGATTAAAACATGTTTTTAATACACCCTGTGATGTGACATAAATATCCCAGCAATACACCTGGTCACAATGAGGTCTTGTTTTATCGGCTTTGTGACGGGGGTGATGACAGTGCTGCAATTAACACCAAGTCGGTAATTGGCCGCCGCTTTTCGAGCTGCGTTTTCTGCAGTGCTGACTGCAGCACACATTTTACCGCGTGTTTGCCCATGTACGGGTGACGCTATCAGATGCTCCTCTGCTCCTCGGGTGATGCCACCATCTGCTCCTTTCACCTTTCTGTCCCCATCCCATACCTCCTTCCCTCCGTCCTGCCCGCCTGTCCGCCCACCCACCCGTGAGCGCAGTGTCGTGATGGCGACGCAGACGTATGTGACCGAGCTGACGGTGTCCCAGCCGGCGCAGCAGCAGCAGCCCCAGCAGCAGTACGTCCATGTCATCGTGTCCGGTGAGTGCCCTGAGGCTCGGGCCCAAAATGCAAACCCTGGGATGATGACCCAGGAAGGACCATTTTATCATTGCATACAACTCCTTCAGTGATTTTTTTTATACATGTACAGTACGCAAAACTTTTGTCAATCTGCTGCTGGATGAGAGCTTCCCTATGCTGTATAGGTCGTGGGGGTTATTTGAGCATACTTCACCACACTGGTCAATGCAGGTTTGTGAAGGTGGGGAGAATAAATGCTGAGGCATTGTACAGTGCAACAATTATATACTTTTCTCACTTTGCCGCTGCCCACAATGTAGCTCCACGGCAGCCTACAACACCTGTATTATGCATAGTAGTCATCCCTTCCAAGCACTCTAGTTGAAGCCTGCTTAGCTTCAAAATTCTGACAAGAGTAGTTGTGATTTAGTCATAGGCATTTCATTAGTCATTTAAAAGAAGTATAAGTTAGGGGAAATGTACACGTAAAGGATTGTGTGCAACCAGTGACAGGGGTGTAGCCGAGGGCATATGTGGACATTGGCATATAGCAACCTCATTAATGAATTTTTTGGCATATACAGTAAAACCTTGGATTGTGAGCATAATTCGTTCCGGAAACGTGTTTGTAATCCAAAGCACTCGTATATCAAAGCACTCGTATACATCAGTTGTGATCACGTGACGCTCGGCAGACAAAGCGTATACGTACTGCTACTCGTATTGCAAGACCTCGCTCGTTTATCAAATTAATATTTATTTTAAAATTTTGCTCGTCTTACAAAACACTCGCAGACCAAGTTACTCGCAATCCAAGGTGTTACTGTATTTCATTTGTTTGAGCAAATGACGCAGGCACAATAAACCACCATATGACCACTTCCTAAAGAAATATATTTTTATTGGTAAAAATATTAAGCCGTAGTCAATGTTGATGAAAAATCCCAAACATATCATGATTGGGCAATTCCATCCCATCATTGGTGACAAAACCATCGGCCCACTTTTGATTACCGATTTTCCCAAATAAAGGATATTTGGCAACACTTATCCTCGGCCATATGCAATGAGCATTGTGAGTGATGTGAGGTGGCAGCACAGGTGATCCGGTCCTGCTTTTGGTGATTTCACGCTCAATGGGTGTACCCATGAACAGGTAATTTAAGCGTGCATGGTTTATTCTGTGAGAACAATAGCGAGCGTGTGATCTTTGGTTACACCTCTATTGGTGCTGCCTGTTGTGGGAATTGTTTTGAACCTTGTAACTGCATCACATTTGTCCTTTCGTGAGCCGAGTATCGATCACACCTGTGGTGTCCGTAATATAAACCTGAGCCCAAAGTTTCACTAAATGATTATCTGATGCTTGTAAACGTGTATAATAACTTTACATGTATCCCTGAATAATTTTGGGAAATTTTAATTAAGGCGTTAATGTTTTGAAATACTATGAACGTTTAGCTTATATCCTTGCGTTGCATATTTACTCTAGCGTTTACGTTTTATTCAACATGTGGTACGCACACCTGTAAGTCTTATTTTGACAGCAAGGGTTGGTGGATCACGTTCATTTGGGAAACTGCCAATCCTGCTTGGCTAAGAGGTGGCAAATATATAGCAGTACAGCCAAGAGGCTTCTCAACCTGTCTGTGCATCAGGGGCAGAGCCAGGATTTTGACTTTGAGGGGGGCTGACTTCAATATTCTGAGATATCCAGTGTAATGTTTTCCAATGGGCGCCACAAATGTATAAAACAAATTTTATTGGATTTGAACGCGGAGTTTATTAATAGGTCGGAGCCGCTGATGTGGCTAATAAGTTCGATAAGTTCGAAAGGCTGCCACTCAAGCAGCCTGCAGGGCAGCACAAGGTGGCAGCCTGCAGGGCAGCACAAGGTGGCAGCCAGCATTTTGCAGCAGCCGGATATCCGGTTATCCCGATTATCGATTTTCCCAAAATATCAAGGGGGGCTGTGCCTCCCCCAGCCCCCCCTGTGGCTCCGCCCCTGCTGTGCATGTATTTTGGTGTTATCCCATATTTATGGGTTTTCTCTAAATTATATTTTCCTTCGACATGCAAAATACTTCTTTACTCAACAAATCCCTATGCAGGACCCTCCTGGAAAGATCTTGGTATTTCGCGAGGCTTTCCTGGATAATTAAATTACACTTATATAATTAATATATCCAACTGATACTATTTGCAGTACCAGTGTTATTTGGTTTGTGCACCATTACTCATTTGGCATCGGCTGCAGCTATGCTTGTTTGTACGTAAGTGTAGGGTGCACTTGTGGCTTTACGGATGCACTGTGCACGGTTTTGTTAATGCGCATAAGAAGATGCCGTTAATTGGCATCCGTACAGTCTCACCCTGCACAGGTGATCTCGAGCACAGGTCTCATTGTACAACAGATGGGGTTATTGTGATGTGTGCACACTTACTTGTGCGAGAGTGCGCGGGTGCACGCCTGTGTGGGTGAGTGCATGTTTGTGCGTGTGCGAGTATGCCCGTGTGTTTCTTGCAAATAATAATGCATTGGTTGACGTAGTGTGCTGTGATCTCAGTGACCTGGGTTCAATTTTTGCACATCTGCAGTGTCATTGGAAAATGAAGGACCGGAGGCTGTCCTGGAACTCTCCTATGTTGATTCAGATATAATTGAGAACCTGGAGCAGTGTGAAAACACTACCATTGGAGAAACAAGGGTGGCTGAGCATGTTGTTGGCCACACGCTGCATCTTGCGCTGTGCAGACCTGAAGGACTATTCAACTGAGAACATAAATTGGTATTCTACAAATGCTTGTCTAGGCTGTCTCTCAGGCTGTGCTATATGTTAGCGAGCAGAAATAAACTTTAAAATTACATTGAAGCACGTCATTTTTGCACTTTAGCAATGTCACTGTGAGCACATGGCAGTGATTTTAAAGTGAAACATTTCATGATCAAAGCCTCAAACTCATGTGTGAGAGCACAGGACACGAGGTACCTAGCTGAAAGATAATAGCTGTTTGTTATTTGGGTTGAGCCATCTTTCAAAACACTAACAGATATTTGCCTATAAACACTTGTAAAAACTGTCTTAAGGCTAAAAATATTAATTTCTTTGTGTTAGTTTTGTGCGTCTATGCGGATGAGGTGGCACAGGGGTGTGCGTACTGTGCTCTGAACCTATAACGGGGGTTTGATTTCTAGTCTTGGATATCAGTGGCAAGGGCTATCTAATCCTGTCTTGGGCCTCACCTAGATTGGCTGACTCGTTTCTGTGTGTGTTGTGGTCTGTCTGTATGTGCCTGCGTGTGTTTTTTGGTGTATTTTGTTTGAGCAAGTGTCTGCGTATTTGTGAATTTCTGTGCGAGTTGGTCTGTGCACTGTTTCAATTCCAGTAACAATGAGTTAAATTTTATGCAGAGATATTGCTACTTGAATTTGTGCAGGGCCTCCCCCTTGGTCAACTGAGGCCTAAATGAGTACCTGGTGCTGTGTGTGAAAATCAACCCTGACAAGGCAAAGGCTGTGTTCTACTGGTCACACGACTTTTTATTGTACAATGCCAGTCTTAATGAGTGCTTGCTAACAGCACTTGCTTCTAAAACCTACAATGTATATGTTGAACTTCTTTTACACCCTATGTAGCAAACCATGCTAATCAGATGTGGGGGGGAGGACAACAAACAAAACACAAAAAGCTCTTCTAAATAAATTCGTTTTTAATCTAGAATTAAAGGTGCATAGCTCCAGTGACTTGGAGAGCATTCCAGATGCCGCAGAAGCGCATCTGAAAGCGTGCGATGTGGTGACTGTCTTTGTTCTATGGCTCCCCTTAAGCCGCTGCGAGGATGACTGGTGTTTGCATGATGGTTTATGCTCCTTTACGAGATCAGCAAGGTATTGTGGTTAATTTGTGGCAAGCGCTTTGTGTGTAATGAGTGCGACCTAAATCATGGATCTTTGTGTGTGTGTGTGCACCCACACGTGTGTTGACTCCCCAGAGAGCGGCATGCAGGCGACTGCCTCCACCTCGGACTCGGCGCGCTCTGTGCCGCTGCAGGTGTCCTCAGCTGGGCAGCCCCCAGGGGCTGCACAGGGCGTCCAGCAGGGCCAGCAGCAGCAACAGCAGGTAGATAGTGCCTGGCAAGGGACTCTCTGATGGGATCTGGCTGCCAATAACATGGGGGGGGGGGGACAGGCTGTGGGATGGTGTGCTGTCATTCACATATGCGCCCATAGTTATGATCGGTAATTAGAATACAAATGTAAAGGTATTGTTTTACTACAGATTCAGGCACTGGAGTATCATAATCATCATCTCACAGGCAATGCCAATGCCAATCTACGACTAGTACAGGGTTCCCTCGCTTTAAGCGGGTTCGGTTTGTGTGATTTCGCGTATTTCTGCCCAAAATTCGCGATATGCAGTTTGAATTTACTCATGCATCTATGCGGTCTGATGTAGGACAGCGTTGTATGCACTACTCGGCAGGCAGCTTGTCTTGTGCGGTTTTTCTTTGTGAACCCTTCTTATAGAATGTGTCGACCACATAAAGCAAGGGAAACCTGCAGTCGTAGTACCTGCAGCTCAAATATCAATTCACACCGTGTCAGTTCTGGAGGTTGTTTAATCATACTTCATGGCCCTGTGATGTATAAGCACCAAATTAATTAATCACTTTCAATATTAAATGCGCCTTCATCATCATCATCATCTTTGATCAAACCTCTACTGGATGAAGCCCCCCCAAACCATCTCCATCCCTCACAGTGCCTTATAAAATAAAATCCATGAACACATCCTTACAAGAGACATATATCATAGGCTATTGTTTTTTAAAATGGCCCTTCATTGTCTAAAATGTCAGCCTAGAATAGATGTTTCTTGTAAAAGGCAGTGTTGATGTTGAAGGTAGTGAGTTAGTTTCATCATTGATCATTACTGTACACCGCGCTGTAAAAAAATCCAAGATCGTTATTCATTTGAATGTGATCCATGTCTTTTTTATTATCTATTTTATTCCTTTTTGCCTTGTCATGTTTTAACAACTCCCAGTGGCATTAAACTCAGTGCAGTAAACGTCACATCACCGCTTTAAAGAACATCACTGTGCACGAAGACCCTTTGTTGAATAATTGTGATTGAGACGTAATAATAATGATCAGGATGTTTACGAGTAAAATGCCACTCGCGTTCATTTGTGCATTTAAACAGCATGTTATATAGTTGAAAAGTTAGTTTACCGAGATAGTGTTAAGATGCAATTACATAGTTTGCGTCGCTTTGCAGTACGGTTAACTTATTAAGGAGCACCTTCTCACTCTGGCTGATAATTGTGAAATGTGCGTCAACAATGAAGCAAACAATTTGAAAATTTACTTTAGCCTTTTCATTATTATTAATATTGTGACAAAGTGTCAATAATGTTGATGTAAATAAATAACTGTTGTAATTTGTTTTTAAATAGAATACAACAAAAAATATTATTTGCGTATTTCTTGAAGCTAAGTTTTGTGCTACCCACTATCTCTGTTTTGGTTTAAAGACGTAATCTCTATTCCTTTAGGTGTTACTGCAATTCTATAATTTCAAGTCAAAGTGTCTCCTTGTTTAAACTCACAATTGGGTGGCACTAACTTGTGTTGTTCCTGAGCCAGTGTTAAATATTGCTGGATCCTGTGGTGAGGGAGAGTTTCTCCTAATGACCGAAGAGCACGATGATTCATTATTCGTCCAGGAAAGCCTCACTGAGTTTCAAGACTCTTTTCGATGTTCGGAAAATTCCTCACTGAGTTTTTTTTATATAAACGCAAGAATGGGACTTCTCTGTTGTATAACTACTACCACTACTGAGCAAAATGAAGTAAATATTTCACGTTTATCTTTTGTTTTTTTTTAGTTGAGGGCAAAGGTAGTCTTTATTCGTCTGGCATATGCATTCATGGTAATTATGCGAAGCTTATTGTGTCAATATAAAAAAATAAAATGTTTTATCGCCACGGAAGTACACAAACTCAGCTCATCATCTGTACAGAGTCGATTAAGTGAATACGGCTGTGGGAAGGTAACAGTGGTACCCCTCTGGGATAGACTCATTTTCGCCCGAACAAATGTGGACTTTGCACCACTTGGCTCAGGGCTCTAAGCAGGAGCACCACTCCACACTCACGTGAGCGGGGAGACCACTGACTTTTTTTCGAATCGCACAAAAGCATGCCTAACGCGTGTCGTTATCTGAACGTAATGTGCAGAGGCTGGTGGTGCAGACGTCCACACCTCCCCAGAAGTCTACGCAGCCCCAGAGGGTGCAGGTCCCGCAGCAGGTACATTGGCGCCCACACCCAAGCCCCCCACCCCAGTATACCTTGACTCGTGTTTACAAAAGGCAGGTTGCTCAGAATTTTTGTGGTGAAGAGCCAAATTTATGAACAAAAGGGCTAGTAATTTTTCTCAACAAGTGCAGAAATATTCTGTTTTCGTGAATTGTAATACAATTCAAATAGAACAGTTGAAAAAAGTTAGTGCAGTCAGTACTCGGACAAGCATCTTAGCTGCACTAACTGGGTACTAGATGTGAATATTTTAAACGTGGAAACACTTTTCAGAAACACAGTGAGCCCTAATTATTTATATTTTTGGATAACGTTTGTGTTATTGTGTGGCCCGCCAAAGGTATTTGAAAGTCTCATTTGGCCCTTGGTAAGGAAGAGATTCTCCACTCGTGATTTAACAAAGGGTGGAGATGGTAGGCGGAGTTGGAAGTCGTCTTAATCCTGGGGCCATGAGGCCTGGTGTTCAGGAACAGCTGCTGCAAATTCCAATTCCACCAATAGTTCTTGTCACCTTTAGAGTAAACCTTGGCGAGAGATGATTAATGATTTTCTTGTTTTATAAAAAAAAACTAACTGCAAAGCCGCCTTTGTGTAACGCTTAAAACCGCAAGGCACAATTTGTTTAGTTTTTATAACTTTCTATTTTGTTCAAGAGGTTTTTCCTCGCCAACAATGTTTGTTATTTGAAAACAATTTTTTGGCCTCGTTGCCCGTGAATGTTGTAGTTTTCCAGCCTCTTGCTCTGCGGAGGAAACTTGCAGTTATTCCGGTCCGAGTGTTAGTGATCCGCACGTGTTTTACAAGTGACTCGAATTCACTCGAGTGGCCGAAAAAGCACAGGAAATGTGCAAATAAATAAACAGTGCGTCGAGTAGAGGGTACGGTATGCTCATTAAAAGCAAGACCAACATTTCCAGTCTAAAACGCCACATCATCTGCTGCGCTTCCTGTTTCGTCGATTTTAATTCAGCTTTGTTTACTTTTCCTGGCACACATTCACTTAAGTCGGTGGTCACGTTTTAAAGCAAAATGGAAAGAAAAAAAATTGTTCTGGCAAGTGGTTATGATAAACCACTGCAGCCTCGGCAGACGGGACAGTGCATTCAAAGCGGATGAGTTGCACGGGCTGTACAAACCCCCCTTTGACCTAAGGAAAAGTTTATCTTGTGCGTTTGCTGTTATCTGAATGGAGGATGTCCGTTTTCAATCGTGGAGTCATCTAAACTTGCATGGGGCACGCAGCAGTTTGGTGGCAATGTTACTGCTGCTGTTACAGGCCAGGCATCCACAACTCTTTGGCTGGTGAGCTACCCTGGTTTGCACAGAATGTGCGTTGGGGCGATGATGTCGCTCGAGTGCCTTGTAAATTTGTAAGATTAAGCTTAACATTTTGATGGAGATGTTGGGTTGTGTCTTGTGTCATGAAATCGATGCAACTGCATGCAAAAAAAATGTTCTCTGTGAGGAACTGGTTCAGGTGCCCCCACTGCTTCACACTGCTGGTTTGCCCGCGTGTTCCACAGACGCTCCTGCGGTGCCGCATGCTATGCTGTGCTCGGAAAATACTGCCAGAAGCAGGAGGGGATTTTTTTCAAACGTTAAAGGACCTTATTGAGAGCTTGTCCTCGTGTGCGCGTGTGTGTGTGTGTTGCGCACGGTGTGCAATGTCGCAGGTGCAGGTGCAGCATGTGTACCCCAGCCATGTGCAGTACGTGGACGGCAGTGACCCGGTGTACACCAATGGGGCCGTGTGAGTGCTCTTGTCCAGTGGACCGCAGTGCCTGTGGGCTACACCTGCACACAGACACATACTCTACAGACAAAATCTAATGGTAGCCAGAACATTTTTTGTGTTTTAACATAATTGCAACGTCAGTAGGAATTGAATCATCATTTTCTATCATGATCAGCCATTGTCTGTTTACTGCTGGATGAATACCTCGCCCCATGCTGTTCCTTTATGGGTCTGTGTTTGGCCTATTAATCTCAGTCTGCACATGAATTAATCCCTTCACTCCATCTCCACGTTGGTTATCCTCGTGGGCCATTCCATCGCTAGTTTTGGTTATCAGCCACCATTCCTTCTTGGTGTGTTATGTCCAAGCCAACTTGCTCTTGTTATTTCGGTGTGTCTGATTGTATTTATTCCCTGGTCCACATGCTCTGTTTCCTATCCCTTTAGTGTAATACCAAGTATGCATCTCTGCATGATGCTTTGCACACTTGGCAGCTTATGTTTCCATTATGGTGTAAATAGGATTTTTAGAAGTGATTTATTTATCTTGTTTTAATGACGAGTGATGCAGGAATGTGTTCCGTGTGCTTGCACTGCAAGTGGGTCATCACGATGCTACATTCCTTGCTTAAAAGTAGCAGGAAGTATCCTCAAAACTATTGATTGAATGTTGTGATATTGTAATCAAGGTTATAGTAAATTAATCTTGTTTTTCAAAGTTACGGTCATATGTTCAACCACTGCAAATGTACGTTTGTTGGTTTCAAGTTTCATTTATTAGGTATAGCCCTGTGAGCCATGCGGCTCTTAAGTCGGGTGCAACCGCAACAAACAAAATTTGAACACAGAACATCTTAAAGCGACAACGCGTAACAGAAACATTCTGGAATAAACCAGCAAATATTCCACACAAGCAATACAGAACATTCCTATCATATATTGACTATTCACAAATTTGACTTGACATTTTTGTTCACTTGGCGGTGGTATACATATCTGTATATAAATATTACGATATAAAGTATTGAAAATTTTTTTGTATAGTTTTGTGCCGTTTGTATATTCAAATAACTTAATGTTGTTTTATACAATGTAAAGTACGCATAAAGTTAGTGTTGAGCTTTTATCACTTTTATAGGCTTGATGTGTGTAAGCATTTGTGCATACAACGTTGCACAGCAAACCTACAACTATTTGGAAAAAGCGATGCTATTCCAACTATTCACACATGGGCCCCCTGACATTCGGGAAAATGGAGGTTACAGTAGCTGTGTTTGAAATGTTTTCGATGTAAGTGGTGGCCGGGATGGCTTCGAGATCAGAGTGCTGAGCTCGCACCACTCAAATCTTGGGTTTGAACCCAGGCAGCCACAGTAGTGATACTATTTAGCTATGCAACCGAGAGATAATGGGCTCAGCCCAGTCATCATTGACAGTACACAAAAAAACTTGCATTGTTTGGTTTTTCTCCTAATCTGGTTGCCAGCTCTGAGAATTTAAAATATTGGTTTAATTGTCATGCCACCAACGTTACTCTTTGGCAAAGTAGTTGCGAATGTGTTGGTCCCTACTGAATGAGCCCTTGAGAAGTTTTTTTTTAACATCGCAGAGGTAGCTCGATGATATTGTTTTCCACGGGTCATCAAATTAAAAGGGCTGTTCTGCTCTGTAAGAGATCCAAATGCAGACCTCGACTCGTGCTGTGACAACGATGGTACAATCGGGATAAGACTTGGGAGGGGGATGGGGGAGGGAAGGAAAAACAAAAAAAAGGAAATTAATTGTTAGATGTTTGGTTTGCAGGGACAGTAAAGGCGATTTGCTTTGCTTGTGGGCGAGCAGGCGAGCAGCATCCTACCCTTACAGTGAGGCCCAGCTGTACGGCCAGGGAGAGGGCCCTGTCTACTACGACTCACAGGTACCAATGTGTGCAGCGAACAAGCAGCAGCTGCTGCCTTTATTATTAGGAAGTTGCATCACAACACGATCGAGCTGTTTTATATAACAGTTCTCCAATCTTGTGAAGTGTCTTACCACTCATTATGAGCATGGGGTATTATCGTTGTTCATCTCTGTTTATAGCGCTGATCAGCGGTGAAAGTGACTGGTATAGAAACAATAAGTTCAGGATTAGACGGTGAAAATACTTTCTGCAGTCGTGACAAGTTCAGTGGTATGGAGTCATCTTATTTGCAATGTTCTTCAAAGGTTTTTCTTTAATATATCTTTACTGCACAAGTCTACATTGTAAAATCAACTTCAGATTCACTTGAACATCAGAGTTTTGTCCCTAACATATGAGCCATGTTTATTTTTAGTGTTTAAAATGTGCTGTGGTTGTTTTCAATTGTGTACAATGCAATGTGAACCAAACATTATATTACCATAATTACATAATTGTGTATTGACTTGCTCTCTGTAAGTACTTAATAAAATGTTTTAATGTGCACCTCTTGCAAGGTTGGCATGTAAAAAAACCTTTTCATCAAAGGGTAATTGTATAGCCACATTGTCTCCCTGCTCAAAAGAGCATTTTAGAGGGCTCATCTCTCTTAGCAGCCCTGAGCCAGTGGTGGACATTCCGCATTCCTATGGTAGGACTACACTGTCCATAATACAACCTCTGTTGGCATCCTGCAAAATTATGATACTCGTATCGGTGATGCTGAAGGGATGGTTATGATGGTGATATTGTGTTAAGTCTACCTTCAAACGAAATTTGATCTTGTGACTTTTGTACAACTGGCAGGTTCTAACCACAACCTAATCTTGCCAGTGCATGGTAATGTTCCAATTCACAAGGCATGTAATGATTCTAGATCCATTGAGTGTAGACAATTATTACACTCGTGATGCATGTGTTGTATTATAGGCGTAAGTATTCACTATTGTATATATATACACAACTCGCATGGGAGGCTGACAAAAAAGGGCTCTACGTGTATTTGTGTGCCGTGGGAAGAGTGACTCATTTCGCCCCTGCCCCCTAGGGCCGTGTCACGACGCAGCTGGGCACCGTGGTCTCATCACATGGCCTCATGAGCACAGGCGGCAGTGGCGGCGGCAGTGAGATGGGAGCAATGGGGGTCGGCGGTGGGCAGGTGCTCACCGAGGCCGGGGGTGCGTACCTCATCCAGACGATGGACGGCTCTGGGCAGTCGCTGAGCCAGGCCACACGCGCCTCGCCTGCCACGGTGAGAGTCTGATGGGATGTTCCCGCTCGGGACGGAGGTGTCAGGAAAAATCACGCAGAAGCGCCAAAGTCGAGTGAGCAGATTTACTCATGGCATTTGGGAGTAACAAGATGCACTGGTTCTGCCAAGCTGGTGTGCGAATAGTTCACCTGCTGTGCAAAGTTTGTTCAATACAATATCATGGTCTTTTTTTAGCCTTCACTGTAGTTAAAAAAGTAAATGCTAGAGTGTTTCCCCTGCTCAAACAAAACAGGGCAGTACTAGTCTATTGTCGGCTTTGAGCCAACCATTGGCGGAAGTTCCACATCGGCATGACAGGTGCCACCCTCTCTAAAACCACCACTGTTGGCATCCCGCAATGTTGCGTTACTTTTACTTTATTGACTCAAGTGGCTGAGTTGACTCCCCCCACTACGATTTTCATTGTATGGCTTTATGAGTTGAACACAATCATGTATGGCACTGCACCACCTGGCTGATCTGTAAGAAAGTCAGTCGGTAATTAAGTATGTCAAAAACTTGTACAGAAAGGCATATGAAATAGCTCCGAGGACAGTCCCCTTGTGCCCAGTGTCTTTGGTAATTCTTAAATGATTATTTCAAGCCGTAATTTTATTTTGGTGTTTCTGTGTCTTTTGCCTCTTGATCCTGTTATTGGCGAGTGTCACATACATTTTTCGTGAAGCCTGTTGCACACGACCACCTTTAACCGACGCTTGCCCTCTGAATCGCTATTCGTTTTATTTTTACATTTTATAGCAAATATTACGTAAAGTCGAATTAATGTTCTTGTAAAGTAATTTATCATTGTGAATATTGGCAGAAGTCCACTTAACTCGTGCACTGCTGGTGGTTGTTTAACACGTTTCACTCACTTATTATTTTCCTGAGTGTGTATGGTGTATGTGCAGCTGTGACTTAATCAGTAAATGTGAATTTTAAAAAGTCCTAATGTTGAAAGTCTTCGCACACTCATGAAAATAAAATTTGTGAATTACGCATTTAATACAATATTTGCTTGCTGCTTGCTTATAAATACTGTATTCAGCAAAACTGTGGTGAGCCTCTTTAAGCACTTGCGATTCTATTGCCTCTTATTTTTTCTTTTATTTTTATCTTTTGAGTTTCCAGGCAGCGATTATTTTGCTCAATTAATTGGTCTCTTTGCTGACAAAGCACGTAGGCCCACAGCCCTTGTCCCTGGCTTTCTGAGCTGCCTGTGTGCCATCTCGCCATCAGATTGAGTTGACGTTTGAGACCCTGCAAAGCTCTGAGGGTTTCCCGAATCAGCAAAGTTCTCTGCTAAACCACCATGTAAGTGTCCACTTTCTCTCTAACCCCTTCTCTTTTTGCTCTGAGCCTTTCTGCACTCCTGTCCTTTTTTGGTTTTGCCGATTTTTTTGCATGCCACTTTACACTAGTACCTCTGCTTTGGATTGAAATGGCTTTTTTTCGCAAACATTGCATCGCGCAGTCTCAAAGGTTTTGCTGGTTTTTTTACATGTTAACTTGGTGGTGCCCATATATTCACCGCCATCTCGCCCTTTGCAATCTGGTCATGATCCCCCATGCAAAGCCAGTGTTAATACCGTGTATAAGTCAGGAGAGGTGGCCATTGGCAGAAATTGGCAGCTTAGTGGCTGTGGTTGGCGGTGCACCGAGATCAACGATATTATGTTAATGTGTTATGTCGAGCGCTAAATCCCTGCCCGTCTTGCCATCTTAGTGGCAGTCCGTAAGCGACTGTGTAGCAGATGGTGGAACGGACCAAAATGCAACGTCAAATAGGACAGAAAATGCTGTGTTTAAACAGTGGGGATAACAGGTGTGAGTTAAACTGCTCCACAGTCCTATGCCGGCGAGGCCCAATTCTTATCACATTCAACTAGAAATGGAGTTTCTCGTATGCTGTTTTGCCTGTTTGTTACACCTCATTGACCTTACTCGCACACGTGGCATTGGATTCACAAATTACTGAAAATATGAAAAATAATCAGTGATTCGGTGATGCTAATGTCATACAATTTTATTTGTGCGACAGCAGCAACAGTTGAAACTTGAATACAGCCTGATTAATTAAGTACAATTTCAAGATGAAATACAGGAGCTGCGTTGGCTGCAGTGCAGAAGCACAAACTGCAAATTACTTTAAACTGAATAGCACTGTCGTCAATGGTGCTTTCGCTCGGCATGTTAGCTTGTGACAATATATCGTTCATTTATGAGGCAGAAGGATGAGGAAGTGTTTTAATAATGGTGGTAAAGTATTTGTTATCTGTCCTCCTTTTTATACGTTGACCGGTCATTGGTGTCAGAACCCAGATCCAAGTGTGTTTACCCATTCTTTTCAAGGCACAGAACCATCTGTGGATATTTCAAGAATGCACAGGAAATCCCATTTGAATGGCTCTAGTAGCCTAAAGTAATCACAATAAATTACAGTCATAAAACCAACACGTACAGTGAGTGGAGCCAAACAGTAAGTTGAAGTAAAATCGTGTGTTGGGTGGCAGTGTCATGTTAAAATATTCCTCGTGATGAGCTATCGCATTCATGGTTATCTCCAAATGAGGTAGGATTAAATGGCTGCAGAATATTAATGGGATTTGAAAATAACAATTTAGGTGGGGGGGGGGGAAACACAACCAATAATATTCTGAGATGGTGCTGGCATGGATTCCATGTGCCACAAGAGCCATTGCTGCTGTCACAGTCTGTCTTCATCAAAGTTTTTTCAACGTTTGTTCCCGCTATTGTAGTTTATCTGCACAGACCAGTAGATGAGGCTAATATTGGCTGTCGCAAGAGGCTGCACCAAAATGTGCGAGTGCCCTCGTTCTCAAACACAAGCCAATTGTAGCCGCCTTGTGTCATGCCCATGCAGTGAAGTAGTAGCCATAGACGTTTATTTATCACCAGGTAAGAGCCCATTGAAATCCGAATTCTTGTCTTTCAAGGGAGGCCTGGGTATGAGTTCAAGGGAAAATTCCAAAAGTATATACAAAATAACACGGAATAAAGACACTGTAAGAAACATTTTCATACATAAAGAATCATTATAATAAACCTCATGGGAAACAATACAACTGGTACAGGTTTCTTCAGTTTTGCCAACTTGGATATGTAATTTGTTTTTCCGAATGCAAAAAAAAAACATGCGTAAGCCTGTCACATGACGAAGGCTCGTCCGCTGTTCCTCGTAATGACACATCCTTGTGTGTGTACTCCCCGCCTCCCCCCCTTCCACACGCACCGGCACCGTCGGCCACAGGTGCAGTGGCTGATCGACAACTACGAGACGGCGGAGGGGGTGAGCCTTCCGCGCTGCACCCTCTACAACCACTACCTGCGTCACTGCCAGGAGCAGAAGCTGGACCCCGTGAACGCAGCGTCCTTTGGCAAGCTCATCCGCTCCGTGTTCCTCGGCCTCCGCACGCGGCGCCTCGGCACCAGGTCTGGCGCCGCCGCAAGATGGTCTGGGGAGTGGGCCACAGCAGGCAGTGTTGGGGGGGGAAAAAACGTACACGCATGTTGTCACTTATCAGATACATACTCTGTAATGACTGGGCATGTAATGATTTGCACCAATTGCAATTTAGTAAATTGTTGTAATTTTGACTTGTGGTTGGAATCAATAATTGTATTTTTTTCTCTTGGTATTGTCGTAAATTTAGCGCCACTCGTGGCTGTGTAAGGTTTATGCAAACCGATTACATGCACCCTCCATACGAATTGAAATTAATAGATAGATTCTTGTACCCAAAATGTGCTACATGTATTCTGAGCATAATAAAATACGAATCGATGCATCATTTCACGCGTAGAAATCACTTCTTAAAATGAATCACAAGTTGGGGTTGTAATTCATTTTTAGAAGTCATTTCTGTTTTGGCTTGCTCTTTTTGTGAAAGTAGCATCTCTGGATTGCGCTGATCTCACTTACCACTGTGCGCGTTGGCAGAGGTAACTCGAAGTACCACTATTATGGCATCCGCATCAAGGCATCATCCCCGCTCAACCGCATGCAAGATGACCACCAGCACGCGGCCCTGAGGCAGCAGCCGCTCATCCAGAAGCAGCGGTGCGGACCGTACTCACACCCACCTGTAACCACGGCCACATCGCAAGCAGGGACCTATACTGCTCACATGGAATGGGGAACATGATCCAATACATTCTAAGCACAGGGCCCAGGGTCCACTGTAAGATGCACTAAAAGGTCCACGAAAGGTTATATGGAACTATCCCAACTGCAACCCACTATCACAACTGCAACCCACTTATAAGTTCCACCGCCAGTCATGTGGGGCTAACAAGGACAAGTCTCACACAGGTTCCACGGAGCTCACATATAACTGGCTGCAGGCATCCAATACAGGTCCATACAGCTCACATGGCACCGGCTAACCAGGACTGCCATAGTGTGCCCAGCACAGAACTCGCCACAATGGTCACCACCGGTTCCATGGGACTGGGTAAAGAGTCCAACTCAAGTTCACACAGGGCCTGTACCGAGTTGACAAGGGATGGACTGTGAGGCACAATTAAGATCCTGCACTTGACTCAAGGTCCTCTAAATATGATGTGGGTTGCAATTCCCTGATCCAAAAAATACAGGTGTGAACAGGTTATAGGAATAGGTTTTACCCTTTTAACTGGCACAAAAACTGACACCTTTATTCAAGGCATCATGTTTGCAATAACCACAACACAAGCAGTCAAAATGCAAACAAAAAAGACAACTCTGATAATAATATGTACTGTCCTTGAATTTGATTGGTCCACACCCGAGACAGCTTTTCTTAGAGCCTAGTCTCCATTGGTGTTGGACCAGAAGACACCAAAAGGCGTACAACTCAAAAACAGCGCACTATCAGAGTATTGAGGGCTCGGGGTGAGCATTTACATTATGAGACCTCCTTTGCCAGAAACAAGATCTAGGAATAGGTTTTACCCTTTTAACTGGCACAAAAACTGACACCTTTATTCAAGGCATGTTTGCAATAACCACAACACAAGCAGTCAAAATGCAAACAAAAAAGACAACTCTGATAATAATATGCACTGTCCTTGAATTTGATTGGTCCACACCCGAGACAGCTTTTCTTAGAGCCTAGTCTCCATTGGTGTTGGACCAGAAGACACCAAAAGGCGTACAACTCAAAAACAGCGCACTATCAGAGTATTGAGGGCTCGGGGTGAGCATTTACATTATGAGACCTCCTTTGCCTATATCTTGTTTCTGGCACCTATATCTTGTTTCTGGCAAAGGAGGTCTCGTAATGTAAATGCTCACCCGAGCCCTCAATACTCTGATAGTGCGCTGTTTTTGAGTTGTACGCCTTTTGGTGTCTTCTGGTCCAACACCAATGGAGACTAGGCTCTAAGAAAAGCTGTCTCGGGTGTGGACCAATCAAATTCAAGGACAGTGCATATTATTATCAGAGTTGTCTTTTTTGTTTGCATTTTGACTGCTTGTGTTGTGGTTATTGCAAACATGATGCCTTGAATAAAGGTGTCAGTTTTTGTGCCAGTTAAAAGGGTAAAACCTATTCCTATATCTTGTTTCTGGCAAAGGAGGTCTCATAATGTAAACAGGTGTGAACAGTTAAACATTTATATTATTTGGTTCTTTCGGTACAGCCACGTAGATAGACAAAAAAAATATGGATTCCTGCAGTCACAAAAAGCTTGAAGTCAAGAGTTAAACGTTTATTTTATATTAAAAAAATCTTGTGGGATTATCTTCTTCTTACACACGTTTGTCCCACTCATGTCACCTTCCGCTCCTCGGACCACCATGTCCACATCACCCCACCTCTTTTTCTGCCTTCCTCTTGATCTCTTTCCTTCCACTTGCATCACTTGCACCTTCTGACCCACATCATTTTCCTGCTGTCTCTCCACATGCCCGAACCACACCCACAGCCTTTTCTCTCTCTCATCTCTGTGATTTCTACCACTTTGAGTGTTCCTCTCACTTCTTTTTTTCTCACCCTATCCTTCCTTATTAAACCCACCATCCACCGCAACATCCTCATCTCTGTGACTGAAACAGTTTGGTCCTCCCTCCTTCTTGTGCCCCAGCACTCGGCCCCATACAACAGCACCGGCCTCACCACCCCCGTCTTGTAAACTTTTCCCTTCAACCAAATTGGGGGACCCTCTTATCGCACACCACACCAGCCATCTTTCGTCATTTTAGCCATCTTGTTCTCATCTCTCCTTCTCGTGATCCATCAGCACCACATCGTTGCACCCAGGTACTTAAACTTGTTCGTCTTCATTAACTGGTCACTTCCAATTTGCAATCCTCCTCCTGCATTATTTCCACTGAAATTTTCCACCATATACTCAGTCTTTGTCCAACTGAGCCTCAACCCATTCCCAATTCACAAACCAGATTTGAGAAACAAGTAGTATACAAATGTTACAGGGACCTAAACCATCTCGCTTTAAATATTGATTGCTTAAATTGTTTTCTGTGTCCAGTTAAAATCAAGTATTATGCCCACAATTCATGCACTGATTTAGTGCCTGGTCTTATTTTGAAAGTGGTGGGGTCACCCTGTGTTTCGTTGCACACAGTTTCAAGCCAACAGCAAAGGCGGACGGAGTGGGCGAGGCGCAGGGCGTGGGGCCGCATGGTTCGGCTGAGCAGGCTCTCGTCGCTCAAACCCAGCAGCACCAGCAGTTCCTAGGTAGAGTAACACCCCGGTGGTTTATGTCGGGGATGCGTTCCTGAAATAGGCGTGATGACGAATATCGAAACGACGTCAATCAAAGCAATTTCCAGGGGTGGGTAGTGGAGGCGAAGGCCGAGGCGGCGAATACAGATAGGACGGACGATGCTGTCCGCGATGTAGGTGTGTGTTGAGGCGACGCACATCGGGTAGCGGTGTTAATAAAGTGACGACGTATTTGCGAAACGACGTTAAAGGGGGAGACATAAATCGGGGTATTGCTGTACCAGACGATAATCGTAGAGAATTAACATTTACTGTAATAATGTTAATAGCTGCAATTTAACGGTCATTGATGCTGCAATGCAGTATTTTATTGAAATAGTGGGGGAAACAAATACAGATTTCCATTTGAGTTGACTACTTTTAATGTAAAATTCTAATAAAATTTAGAAGCATATTTAGCATTACAACAATGGCATTTCTTTATCCTGGCAAGCCTCGATGAGCCTAAAAACTTTCGAGGATGGTTCTGCATTCGATTATTATGCCAAATATTTTTTAAGGTGTTATGCCACATATTTTTTTGTGAAGACTTTTAAATGTGGAAAGAAAGTGGAGTGCCTGGAGAAAATCTACGTATACCAGGACATAACACTCAAGGTCTACACAGAAGGGTTCAAGAATCCACTTTCTGTGCTATCATCCTCCTGGCCACCTTGAAGCCTAACGGATTTGAGAATTTGATAAATTATGTGATCAACCAATCTTTGCTTTCCAAGCACAGGCGCTCAATTTTAACTGCAGACATTTCACCCCACGGAGTAGCGCTGTGTGCAAACTTCAGCCTGTGGGGGTCAGAGCCAGGTTGCCTGTAGCTGTTGTTGGTTTTGTTGTGTTTTTTCTTTGGTTGTGACTCTTTGTGGCTGGCACCCCTGCCCCCCACAGATGCGTCACGGGCACTGCCGGCGTTTGCAGAGGTGGAGTGGGGGGACATCACCTTCCCGCCGGGTGTCTCCATTGAGCACGTGCGCACGCTGCAGACGCTCTACCGCGAGCACTGCGAGGTGCGCGCCAGAGGCACTACAGCCCTGTGTGTCTATGTGTAGGGGAGTGGCAGTGCAGTGGTTTAGTGAGCTGCGCTGTGAACTCGGCGGACCCAGGTTCGATTCCCGCGCACGGTAAACACCAGTGACAATGATCTGAACAGGTCCTGGACCTCCCCTAGGTCGACTCTGCCTCAAATGAGTGCCTGGTGCAGTGTGTAAACATCGCCACTTGGGAGGCAAGGGCATGGTCCTGGCCACCCATCCCCTCGTGTACCATTCTGGCCTTCATAAGTGCTCACTAACAACACTTGCCCCAAGTCTATTCAGGCTATATGGGGGATACTCTTTGGTTCTTTCGGTAAAGTCACGTAGTTAGAAATAAATTAAAATAAAACAAATCACGACGTGTCGATTGCAACACAAGTAATCATCATCAGGTGGGAAAACCACAGCAAGAAACATTTTTTTGCTGAAGTGGGAGAGAGAGCTGCTGTGGCAAGAGGTTATATAGTTAAGAAGGGGGGAGAGAGAGAGGGGGGGAGTAGGGGAGCGCTGCGTGGACGCTAGGAGAGGGGACGTGAGGCTGCGGGGGGAAGTGGGCGGGGCTGGAAGTGGGAGGCCGAGAAAGCTGGGGATGCGGGGGGAAATTAACTCGGAAAAATAGACTAGTACCCAGCAGATATGATAGACGCATCCATAGAGCAGTTATGGGTTTACCTGGTTAATAACATCCTTCCAATGATTGCTCAATTTGTATCCATCTTCTCGGTAGAAGTTACGTCTATGTTTATATATCTGGATGGCTTCATGAACAAACCTTTGATAGTCGCCCGAAGGTTTGCAGAGTACCTTGGTCTCGGAAAAAACAATATGCCAGCCCACAGCATTATAACAATGGTCAGCTACGGCAGAGGTATTGGTTCTGCCGTGTTTGTTTTACATATGTGTAGCCTCCTTGTCACTCCATCGTTAACTGTTCCCTCATACGTTACTGCTTGTTTCCTCCACCCCTGTTGAGGGCTCGGAACTACTATACTGACGGTTTTGTGTCATCATTGTGTTCAACTACTACACTGCAGGTCAAAACACAAATGTTGCTCTTTTGGTCCTTGAACCGCTCAACTTTGGAATTCCCTCCCATCATCTCTTCCCAATTTCTTTAAACCTTGCTCAAGTGGCTACTTACTATATCTTCAGCAGTGCTGTTTGTTGCTGGCCTTTTGGCATGTTTGATCCTTTGGGCCTGTGCTTGGCAATCGTGACTCAAAAATATATCTTTGTGTTGGTCGGTGCCCTGCCCTGTGAATCTGGGCCACCTGACTTTGATTTCTGGCCACCAAAGATGGGACTGTGGTATCAAAACCTGTTCTAGGGCCTCCCCAAAGTCGACTCTAACTATAAATAAGTACATGGTGTGGTGTGAAAACCATCAGCACTTGGGACACAAAGGCAGCCAGTCACAGATGTTGGCCACATCACTATCTTGCGTGTCGTGTTAAGCCTAATAATTACGTGGGTGCTAACAGCGCTTGCCCCACAGTTTATAAAAGTATGCACAAGGTGTGTGTTGTGCTGGTGTAGATGAGCCATTGTTGCTGGTGTGCGCACCTGTAACTTCCAGTATATTTGAGGCCACGAGCAGTGAGTGAGATGAGTGTTGTGTCTTCCTCTTGCAGGCCATCTTGGACATCGTGGTGAACCTGCAGTTTGGGTTGATTGAGACCATATGGCAGACTTTCTGGAGGTACAGCCCTCCGGATGATGATGATACTAGCATGGACGTACAGCACAGGCAAGTTTTTTTCTCATAGACACCATATATGATAATATATCATGGGACCTCCTTCGCCAGTACCAAAATATGAGAATAGGTTTTCCCCTTTTTTCTGGCAACAAAACAGGTGTTAAGATGTTAAAACACCAAACTGAAACATTTTAGACCAGAGGATGCCTCTGGTCTAACACCGTTTTGAGACTAGGCTCAAAAGAAAGCTGTCTCTGGTGTGGACCAGTCAGTTTCAAAGACATTGCATATTATCAGAGTACGTTTTTTGTTTGCATTTTGACCACAAGTATTGTGGTTAATGCAGACATGATTTCTTGTAAAAGGTTTCAGTTTGGAATTTTAACATCTTAACACCTATTTTGTTGCCAGAAAAAAAGGGGAAAACCTATTCTCATATAAGGAAGCCTCATTGGGTCTCGAGGCTCTATTTAGGGGGGTATTGTAATGAAATGTTTGAAAATCGGAGTGCCTCAAGAAAGCCCACCACACACATCATACATGTCATTAGATAACATGCAAAGTTGTACACATGTCGCACTGACATGTTGTGTAAGGCAGTGGCCGAAATAAGATAAAGCCAGCACTATCGGAACCCATTTCATGGTGATGCATCTTTGTGTATGCTATGATGATGAATCAGAATATTTGATTTTGCAAAGTAGCAATATGATGAACTAAGTTAGAACCCACATTTAATTAGGGTTTTGTGACATGATTGGTGATCAGGCTGGGATTATCAACTTGTTGCACATTGACCTAGAATCATCATGGGTGTCTGAAACAAAGCATTCTCACCCAAGATCTCAGTGGTGCTCTGACAGGTTAGTTTTCAGAGCCACTAAGCCATCTCAAATCAACCAAACTTAATGTTTTTTTTGTTTGTTTAGTGATTGGTTGCTGGGCTGAAACGTCAACTCACTATGTTTGAGAACTCTGTTTAATCGCCTGCAGACTGACACATGCTGTGGAGGACCAGACTGGATAGAAACCTGAGGGGGGACTAAACAATGCAGATGATAACGTGGCCTTGCTCAGCCAAGTATGCATATGTTAGAAGGTGAAGAAGATTGTGGGCAGCTAATACCAGCACTCGAACCTACAGTGAGGGGAAAAAAGTATTTGATCCCCTGCTGATTTTGTACGTTTGCCCACTGACAAGGAAATGATCAGTTTATAATTTTAATGGTAGGTTTATTCGAACAGTGAGAGACCGAATAACAACAAAAAAATCCAGAAAAATGCATGTCAAAAATGTTATAAATTGGTTTGCATTTTAATGAGGGAAATAAGTATTTGACCCCCTCTCAATCAGAAAGATTTCTGGCTCCCAGGTGTCTTTTATACAGGTAATGAGCTGAGATTAGGAGCACACTCTTAAAGGGAGTGCTAATCTCAGCTTGTTACCTCTATAAAAGACACCTGTCCACCGAAGTAATCAATCAGATTCCAAACTTTCCACCATGGCCAAGACCAAAGAGCTCTCCAAGGATGTCAGGGACAAGATTGTAGACCTACACAAGGCTGGAATGGGCAACAAGACCATTGCCAAGCAGCTTGATGGGAAGGTGACAACAGTTGGTGCGATTATTTGCAAATGGAAGAAACACAAAATTACTGTCAATCTCCCTCGGCCTGGGGCTCCATGCAAGATCTCACCTCGTGGAGTTGCAATGATCATGAGAACGGTGAGGAATCAGCCCAGAACTACACGGGAGGATCTTGGCAATGATCTCAAGGCAGCTGGGACCATAGTCACCAAGAAAACAATTGGTAACACTACGCCGTGAAGGACTGAAATCCTGCAGCGCCCGCAAGGTCCCCCTGCTCAAGAAAGCACATATACATGCCCGTCTGAAGTTTGCCAATGAATATAATGGTTCAGAGGACAACTGGGTGAAAGTGTTGTGGTCAGATGAGACCAAAATGGAGCTCTTTGGCATCAACTCAACTCGCCGTGTATGGAGGAGGAGGAATGCTGCCTATGACCCCAAGAACACCATCTCCACCGTCAAACATGGAGGTGGAAACATTATGCTTGGGGGGTGTTTTTCTGCTAAGGGGACAGGACAACTTCACCGCATCAAAGAGATGATGGACGGGGCCATGTACCGTCAAATCTTGGGTGAGAACCTCCTTCCCTCAGCCAGGGCATTGAAAATGGGTCGTGGATGGGTATTCCAGCATGACAATGACCCAAAACACACGGCCAAGGCAACAAAGGAGTGGCTCAAGAAGAAGCACATTAAGGTCGTGGAGTGGCCTAGCCAGTCTCCAGACCTTAATCCCATAGAAAATCTGTGGAGGGAGCTGAAGGTTCGAGTTGCCAAACGTCAGCCTCGAAACATTAATGACCTGGAGAAGATCTGCAAATAGGAGTGGGACAAAATCCCCCCTGAGATGTGTGCAAACCTGGTGGCCAACTCCAAGAATCGTCTGACCTCTGTGATTGCCAACAAGGGTTTTGCCACCAAGTACTAATGTCATGTTTTGCAGAGGGGTCAAATACTTATTTCCTTCATTAAAATGAAATCAATTTATAACATTTTTGACATGCGTTTTTCTGGATTTTTTTGTTGTTATTCTGTCTCTCACTGTTCAAATAAACCTACCATTAAAATTATAGACTGATCATTTCTTTGTCAGTGGGCAAATGTACAAAATCAGCAGGGGATCAAATACTTTTTTCCCTCACTGTAAGAGCTTCGTGAAGCTAACTTTTAACGTCTCTCTAACACGAGCCACTGGTGCTTTGTTTTTTTGTTTCTGCAGGGAGAATGGCTACGAGAAGCGCCTCCCAAAAGGGGCGCTGGCGACACTGTGCCGGTGGGAGCCGGTCATGAAGTGGATGCGGAGCTGTGACTACCTGCTGTACCAGGCACTGGTGGAGGTGCTCATCCCAGACGTGCTACGGCCCATCCCCAGTGAGTGCCGTTCACCCAATTTCCGCTCCCACCCCTCTCCTCGTCAAAGTGCTGGCGCAGGGCCTGCTGTTGTGAGAGGTTTTATTGCGGCTCCTGAAAATTTGTTGTACGATGAACAGTTCTGATTTTGTGGCATTGTCTGTGGAGTTGTTTTTGTTTGTTTCCAAATTTTGTGATGTCGCCGAGAGTTTGTTGTGGCCCTTATTCGCAAGCATGTGTTGTCAACTGTGACATTTATTTACAGATTTGTGCTGTTGATAAGCAAATGTGCAGACCGTTACTTTAACACGACACCATCATCATTCTCTAGTGACGTTGCAATAAAAGTATGACATTCAAACTACAGTGGCATCGCTGGAGCGTTAAGGTAGCATGCCTAGTGGTGGAGGGTGGCGCAGCTATATTGAAACAAAACTCAAAACATAAACCATACCACAGAAACATTAAATCCTGTGTTTTGTTTTCTGCACTGCTACGTTTTACACACATGAAGCCAACTTTTGTGGTGTTGTGAGGTTTTTTTAAAAAGTGATTTTGACGAAGGCTGGGCTGTTTGCTGCAGGTGCCTTGACACAAGCAATCCGGAATTTTGCCAAGAGCCTGGAGGGCTGGCTGGCTACGGCCCTGAGTGGGCTACCCCAGGAAGTCATACACGCCAAGGCAAGTGGGAGTCTAACTTAGACTAGCTTTTGCATTGTTTGGTGCAGCTGGTCCACCATCACAGACACAATTATTATTATAGAGATGTCCAACCAGGTGGTACTGTGATCAGAGCACTGGACTCACAGTTGAGAGTACAGGTTCAAATCTTGGTCGGGAGTTGACTTGCCCACGTAATTTTAGGCTTGATAAAAAGAGTTTCTTCGTAGTAATTGTCCTATGGGATGCCTACAGGAAGACTAGCTTCCATCATGGCAATGTGGAATTTCCACCATTGCCTCGGGACTATTAACTTTGATGAAAGCTGCCCCATGCTCATTCAAACTGGGGATCCTTTGACCTTTTAATTCTTTATATTTTATGGAAACGCATCTATGTTTTAGGCCAAGGTTTTTTAACTAAAATTGTTCTGGTGGGCCACAATAAAACTTAACGTGTGTTGGCGGGCCACTTGATGCCATGTGGCATATGTACAACCATTATGACAACACATTATCATGATATCGTGTCTGCATGAAACCGCTCAGCTATATTTCTTGGCTTCTGATCGCTTGTTTATCTTGCGCTCATCTTGCTAATATTTCAGTTGTGAACAGCTCTCATCTCTACCTCTTGTTTAGCTTGCATTCATGGCACTCATGTATCACTTTATGTCTTAGTGAACCATATCTCTCGGCGGGCCATAGTTCTTCGGGCCACTTCAAGAGCCTTTAAGTCACATCTGTCCCACATGCTGCCAGTTGATGAACCCTGCTTTAGGGTACACCTTTTCCCTCCTCCTTGAAAACACTCCATCCTTAAAGTTGCACATTCCTAAACATGTGCAATTTCTCCCATGGACGACTCAGAGACAGCCTTCATGACTGTAAAATTATAATCCACCTTATCGGGGCAATGAAGTGCGCAGAGAGCTGCGTACACACACACACGACATTTTTTTGGGTGTCACAGCAAATTGGCTACCTCCTACTTATGGCCATAACAAAGGGGGTTCATGTCACGTCAGAGCACTGAGCCTGCACCCCCTGAGAATTTGGCTTGAAATCTGGGTCTCGACCAAGCGTTCTAAAATGGTGCTCTCAAGTGTAATGAGGTGATGGCCTCACGAGAACCTGGGTTTCAGCCACTGGCGATTAAACTGGGTTTTCCACTATCGTGAGTCTATAATTTCACCTGGATAATCTATTCTTGCTCTCAGAATAAAACTATATATATCATTGCTATTGCAAGAAGATGCACAGCAAGTGAACATAAGCGGAAATTGAAGGGAAACTCGGGAAGTAAGCGTGTGATGTTATCTTCTCGAGGCTGATGCTGCATCACTTTGTGCAAGCCTGATTGTAAATCTCCTCTTATGACAATATGATGCCAATAGTAATATCGGCATCATAATTTTGGGGGAAAGAAGATTTCAAAGAATGCAATAATAATCGTCATTGCCATATGTGGAACAGGTGGCGGCGGTGAGTGCCTTCGCTCAGACACTGCGGCGCTACACGTCGCTGAACCACCTGGCGCAAGCAGCACGGGCTGTTCTGCAGAACACTTCGCAGATCAACCAGATGCTCAACGACCTCAATCGTGTCGACTTTGCCAACGTGCAGGTGCCTGCCACGCCCGCGCATTTACAAAGTCCTGCCTCGGCATTTTCTGGCGCTACAAAGCGAGATGCTGCTGCCGCCAGCAGCAACGATATGGAACATAATACGGTTCACATTAGGTTGTACAGAGGAGAAAGGTAGCATGGACAGGACCAAATACAAGGTGTTCACTCCTGTCTCAGAATTGTAAAATGTCATTGGATTGTGGTTGCAGAGACCTGCATTGTTACACGTCCAGGATGTGTTAGTCATTGAGAAACACTTTAGCTTTTTGTACATATTTTTTATGTCGGTACCTCCCTCAATCCCATCAATATCCAGTCCATATATCGCACCATCTGCCACTGCAGGGAGGAGTCGACAGAACAGAACATCTTTGTTTCAGAAGAGGGTAACTTAGGCTCGTGACGAACCAAAATTCTGGCATTGCTTCTGTGCTCTAACCGTGTAGCATAAGAGGAGCGTATAAGCTTTAGCTCATTGTATATGCTTCTTTTTGTAGGTTGTTTATATTAAAGGTGATAGTTTTTTGGGCCTGTGAACAATACAACATTTACGTTTCTAGCAGGGCAATTTTATTAATGGGAATGGTTATAACATTTATTTGATTCTTTCATAAAATACTACTTTTCAGTACCATGAAATATATTTTTTTGCAAAACGGAGACAAATTACGGAGACGCATCTAGGTGCACAGATGTGGGGCAGGGTTAAGTGTTGTGAGAAGTAAGTAATGAGTGAGTAGATATGGACACTAAATATACAAATACATACTGTATGAATTATTTTAATTATTTACGAAGAAAATAACTCAATTAGTCTGGGTACTCTTTTTAAATAGGATCTGCATTAGGATGTTTGCCTAATTAAGATTAATTAGTGTATGCTATGTGGAAAGAAGCTGGGAAAATCGGAGAAAGCTCACACATACAAGAGATGATTAATTATCAAAGTGTTGCATAGCTCAATTCAGTTCACTGAGAGATCCATTAATAATCCAGGTTTTTTGGGTTAGATCACGTAAATATATAAATGTGTCGTTAAACCCGCCACGATCCGACACAGTCAATTAGTAAGGTTTGTCGCATAAACAGAACATGCCAATTCGTTACTAGTACAGCACACCGGTGTGTTGGAGGGTAAATCTACAACATTAACAAGACCCATCAACTTCAACTGCCCATTGTTGTACTGCCATCTCCTGGTCATCTCGCAGCCCGCAGCCTCATTCCTCCAAAATCCATTCAAGCACTAACCAGGTCAGCTCTCCTTAGCTTCTGAGATCTCATGAGACAGCCACATTCAGGGCAATTTGGTCATAGGCATTCATTCAAAGTTTAACGTAAATCACAAGACATTGGTGAATGTTTTGTTAATATGTCATAAATATGCACTGAAAACGTAAACCGTGATAAAGTATTTTTTACGGAACTTCATGTCCAGTTGAGCGGAAGCTCAAATAAAATAAAAGCTCGCCATGTTTGCGGCCCTTACTGTTCGACAAGAGACTGTCTCCCACTATTGATATTCTAAACTGAGTGCCGTACTATTCGTAGACAGATCAGGCACTCGGAACGTGCATTCCTTTGAATAGCATTACGTGTTTGGTCTGATATCGACTCACGGGAGGAGTCGTCTACAAGTTGGGTTTGACGCGGGGACAGGGAGGAAACACCACTGCGGAGGCAACAGCGGCTCACTTGTGGGGCTGTTTATTTTAAGAAGCGCTCTCACGCTGGGCGGTAACGGCACACTCTGTGTTTCGCAAGCTCGCACGTGCGTGCGTGCGCGCGTTTTTAAGCCCCAGTTTGTGTTCTGCCGCCTTGAATGCTCTTTCGTGAGCAGATTCGGTGATTCTGTGCGCGTCTTGCACGCACAAGTGCGTTTGCGCGTGTGTGCTTGTGCATGTGTGTACGTGTGTGCATGTAAGAATGCAAGTTTGACTTTGGTGTGCACCAGGAGTGCAGATCTGCTTTTTTTGGCAATCGTTACTGGAATTTTACTCTGATACTCTAGAGGAGGCTCATAAAACATTCCCGGAATAATAAAGTCCCTCTGCGCATGCGCACCTGTTCCGAGCTGGTGACGGGGTGGAAACTTTTGGGGCTATTTTCGATGCTTGAAGCTGCCCAAATGAGCTTTCGGGCCAACAATGCATTGCATTCCTCCATCTGTCTCTCCCAGTGCTCTCTTTCCACAGTTATTTTATTAAATGCTATATATATTTTTAAAGATCTGAGTTGTGGGAGTTTAGCTAAGAGAGCCAGAACAAAATCTATTTGGCACTCGGAAATTCGGGCATTGTGGGCAAAGGAGTCGCCAGAAAGAGAGAATGCTTGTAGAATAGAGGCGAGGGATTGGAGATTGTGCATTATTAGATCCAAACAAATGTAATCCTTCCTGTAGTGAATCTTGAACATCCATTATAATGCATAATGGTGACTGATGAAGACTATGATCCGCTTACGTGGTTAAAGTATCTCATTTATTCATATATAGGCTGGCGCTGCGTTCACATTCCAAGCCACATCGCTTGTGTTCATCCATTACAATTGTTATCGTGCCTTGTGAATTTGGCCATGCCCACATCCGCCGGTTGGCACTGGCGCTCCGGCACTGATGGCGTGTGGAGGTCATTGCTCGACAGCTGGCGGCCCCGTGGGTGGGTGGGTGGGCAGGCGGTGGCCGCACACCCAGTACACAGTGCACAGTGTGGCTTGTTAGCCTTTGTGCATTCACACGCGCTCGACAAAGGGTGTCAGTGTGCGTGTACATGTTTTCGCGAAGCGTATTGCGGCCCTGTGCAGCGTCTGTTGAGGCTTTTCTGTGTGTCGCAGTGTGGCACGGGCAACGGATACTCTTGGCTTTTAGCATGGGGGTGTGTGCTAGAGTGAAGATCGGGTCAGAACTGTGCAGCCCTTGGGTATCGTAATGTTTGGTGTGGTCAAAATTTATGGATTTTTTTTTTATGAAGAGGGTATTATGGCCAGTACAGTTGAATGCCGCCTCACCATCACTTCCCTATTTCTTCCAAATTTTGTTTTGTTTTACACAGTAAAAATCTGTCTTCCTGAGGTCTGCTGTTAGTCTCATCACCGCCATCTGGTCATCGGTATTCCCCTTGACCAGATTTTGGGTTCCCACAATATTGCCTGTGCCAGCAAATGATAACCCTCCTAAAAATGAAATGTGAGGCAAACAAATATTTTAGGCTTATAAAATAAGTTAAGGTTTAGTAAATTTTATTTGAAGGGAGACGACACAAAAATAACATGGTCGAAGCATCATTAATGAAAATAAGACTTGTGGGTTTACCCTTCACTGTAGGTCAAACTGATGTCAGAGCATAGCTATTTATATCCGATCAATGTGATTGTCCACCAGTGTTGTTCAAAAACGGCATGTGCGGAGCGTCGGAACTCAAGAGTCGTCCACCGATAAAGGATGTACAGTTGCTGTGTGGCGCAGTAGAGTGCTGTAACATGTCGGGCTGAAACAATTTAATTCTGAAGCTAGCCTGGATGCAAGCTGTGTTATTTTTTTTGTTACTCCTCCCATTAATCAGGAAATCTTGCAGTAAAGGGAATATCATTTGGGCTCGGCGTTGGGGCACATACACCTATGGTTTATTTCTTTGAAGATAAGGGGTGGATCATGCAGATGTATTTGCCTCCCAAATCTGTTGGTTTGCATAGTGGCCAAGAGATGGCAGCACAGCACTTGGATGTGTGAACCCATCTCTGCGGACCTCAGAGAGAGTGTCATTCCCTTGTATGCATGGGTGGTTATTCTGGGTACTGTGGTTTCTATCCACGTGTGAAATGTCCCTTCGTGAATAGCTCGCCATTGTGTTTTTGTGCTGCACCGCGTTATTGGCATATCTGACTTTTTGCTCCAATTTCTGAGAGCTTGAAGTGCTGGGAGCGAAACGCCGGACATTACAACCTAAAAAGATTGAGGTTTCCAGCCCAGCTGTGAAAACCTTCACATTACTCGTTCTGAGTGGAACTGATCAAGCGTCCAAATGTAATATCCTCAATGAGGAGTCTTGAGAAACATTAAAGCTGTCTTGTATTAAAAAATACAATGAATTCTTGGGGTACACGCCGCATTAGGTGACGTGATTACGCTTAGACGAGTGGAGATCGTATCACTTATTTATTGTGTTTTTCCAGAAATGCCTCAACTGAGTCTCATGACAAATTTTCAGAAGAATCCAGCCAAGTTTTCACCTACACAATAGCCTACCCATTTCAGATGACGTCGCACAATCTCTTAACGTCCACCGTGGAGCAGACGGTGTGTATTAACCAGGACCGCCTGCCGAATTCGAACCGCGAACCTCTCCAATAAGCAGGGAATGCGCTTCCAATGGTCCGCGTTACCGCTGGGGCCGTCTTTACACCTCTACGTGTCTTGTGTGCAGGAGCAAGCGTCGTGGGTGTGCCAGTGCGAGGAGGGCGTGGTAACGCGACTGGAGCAGGACTTCAAGGTGACACTGCAGCAGCAAAACTCACTGGAGCAGTGGGCTGTGTGGCTGGACGAGGTGGTCACCACCGTGCTCAAACCACACGAGGGCAGCGCCAGCTATGCCAAGGCCGCGCGCCAGTTCCTGCTGAAGTGGTCCTTCTACAGGCAAGTGTGGTTCTTGTACGGGTCGCCAATGACTGGCCAAGAAAACGCCACCGCAATAGAATTGATTCTGTACTTGGGATAAGTATCCTGCCCTTGGAATAAAAAAAAATATATATCGGTTTGTGATTTTCAAGCGCGGAGTGTGTAAGAACGCGCAGCTCTCTTAGGTGGACCAGATCACTTGTAGGGCACTAAGAGGTAGCTCTGTGATATCCACTTTGTTGACTGTTATGAAATACGAAGGGCTGCACTACGCTGAGCGATCCAAATGGATACTTCATCTCATGACATGACATGGGCAGCACAATTGGAGTAAAATTGGCAGAAAATGAGATGTACAGTCATACCTCGTTATACGACCGCTTTGGAATACGTCGAATTTGGTACACATCGTGTTTTGACGAGAGAAAAAATGTCTTGGGATACGACGTCTTGCTTGGGATACGACGCGCTTGCTAGAACTTGTATGGGTCGGGATGAGTCACCGCGTACCCGCGTCGACCCCGTTCACGACTTGAGACAAAGCGCCGCTCCTCAGTCTGCCTGTAGATCTCGTTCAGTGCACAACCCCCTTGCTGTAACTCTCTGTGAATTTTCACGTGATTTTTGTCATTTTAATGTATGTATGCATTTTAGTATTAAGTAGTGTCTACATTATGTTATACAACCACATTAATGTATAATGTGCCATATAAAATATAATTTCTTATTCTCTGGAACGGATGATTTCCTTTCCCTTTATTTCTTATGGGAAGAATTCGTTTGGTTTACATCATTTTCGATGTAAGTCCTACCTTCTGGAACGAATTAACGACGTGGTACTGTATTGTTAACTCCTGCCCATCCTTTACTTGAGTTATTTTTACGTTGTTGGTCACTATGCTGGCCATTGTAGGCATCGGTCTGGTACTTGGCACCAGGAGTGAAAAAACAAACTTTACCTCTGATGAAAAACCAAATACTTTGTAGATTAACCTGGTATCTGTGTGTTTGTTGCACAGTTCGATGGTGATCCGAGACTTGACCCTGCGCAGCGCGGCGAGCTTTGGCTCCTTCCACCTCATCCGCCTGCTCTACGACGAGTACATGTTCTACCTGGTGGAGCAGCGGGTGGCACGGGCGCGCGGGGAGACGCCCATCGCCGTCATGGGCGAGGTGAACACCGGTGGAGTGACCGATGACCACTCGTACACGCGCACGTGACCTCGTGGTGGTCCAGTTTTTCCCTACACGTCATAGACCAGGCGTGGCGAATCTACAGCTAACGGGCCGGATACGTCTCGCGACTTAAGTTTGTGTGGCCACAGGAGGCCTTCCGCTTCGGAATGGTCCACAAACGATATTTTTCCATCAGTGCAAGCATCTGAGCTGCCCGTACTGGACATCTGTGAAAAATAAAGCTTCATAGCTCATCGGATTCCTCCAGTCTAAATAAAGATTTTGAATATGATATTTTCGATCTGGAAACAGTGTTTCTAATTTTAGAAAGGCATTCTCACTTCTGCCACTGCAAGAGGCCCTTGCAAATAAATTTTATATCTTGTGGTAGTGCTGGCGAGACTGACTAGCTCAGTCGTGGAGACTAATTATGGAGTAAACATGCCTGATAGGGCATCCACTGTGGAGATGAGGTGATGGCATAAATTCACGGGCGAGTCAGTCTGGCATGGGCAAACTGTGAGAGGTGGCGATCATGACTAACGATGATAGTTGATGAGAGACGTTCACTTGACTGGTAATAGCTGGCATCATTGAAAATTTAACCCTGTGGCATAGTTGCCAAGAGTAGGCTACGGAACGACACTGCAATAGCACAAATTGCAAGCCTTACACTGCAATTACAGCTTATATACAAACGTTTATTTTAAGAAAACGTCTAAAAAGCTATTTTTTTCATCAATGCGAAATAAAAGAAAGCCTTTTAAAGTTCCAAGTGCTTCTCACAAAAGTGGTGCTTTTATCTCAGTCCATTTTCACTTATTTCTGTATAATGGAGAATAACAAGGGCTGAGAAAAGGCAGCAGTGACGCTGAGCATGCATCTAGAGGTAATGCTGTTTGTCTGCTAATCACTGCTGTGTGGCATGTGCACATATAAGCTAACGGTGTTTCTTTTTGGGTTTGTATTTCAGTTTGCTGACCTGGGATCAGGATTCTTGTCCTTGAATGGGATAAAAGGTAATACTGCAGCCATGGCAGGAACTATTGTTTGGTTTAGTTATTCTTATTTTGAGTAAAGAAATAAAAGGAAGGTATCTATTTCTTTTAGAGGAACAGGCATTGTGTGTTTTTCTTTTAGACTGCAGTAAAGAGACAACTCGTGTTTTCACAGTGGCTTAATGCAGCTCGTGAACTCAACAGTAAGCTAATAGCTTATGATTTACTTAACCAATATATGCTCAGGACTGAGTTGAAATGGTTATAATGCGAAGAGAATTCCCACGTGCCGCAAATTGTGTAGAGTTTTAAAAGCTTATATTGTCATTAATATGAGTCTCCTTTTTTTTAATTGAAATCCTGCAAAAGGGCTTGGAGGGTGTATGCGGACGATGCTTGAATTTCATGACCGGATAAGTCATTAACTTGAAAGTTAAGAATGAAATGTGGCAGGAATTAATTATAGACATAATCAGTATGAGGAAGTTTTGATGTATTGTAACGTGTGGAGAACAGAGGGCAGATTACCAGAGACATGCATTAAAGTGGCACCCGATGGTCAATGGCCAAGGGAAAACCTAAAGCCGCAGAATGGTTGTAGACTCAGGGGTGTCCTTGAAAGATATGTAAACTGCATGACGGCTGTGTACCAAAGAGAAGACCTAAATCCAAATGCTAGCTTAGAGAATTCACGAACAGATTTTGGAATATCTGGTACGAGCTGTGCATCATTCACAATCTGGCATAAGGCAGGAAGCAACGGTGATTACATTTCGATCTTGAAATGTTTGTGAAATGCAAGCGCTGACTAGCCTGGCAAAGGAAAGACACTTAAACCTTCCCGCCCTGCCTTCCCCCCTCAACATGTGAATCTTGTGTTCCACCCTCTCCCCACCCCCGTGCGTGCACGGCGTTCCCTCACGCAGACCGAGAGGCCAGCCAGAGGGACTCGTGGGACGAGGTGTCGGTGGAGTCGGGTGAACCGGCACCCAAACTGACTCGCACGGAGCTTAAGTAGGAGATGGAAAAAAAGAGCGAGAGAAAGAGGCAGGGGAAAGGTGCGGACAAAGACGGCGGCTCGGAGGACGAGAGTTTATCCAGCGTGGCTGCGACCCAACGCTACGTTGTTGTGTGTCTGTGGAAAGGGGCAGTGGGTTGAATTTGCCCGCTGCAGCTCCTGTTGCTGGTGGTGTACAAAACCTAAGACTGCGGCGAAATTCTTTGTGGCATAAGTAGTGTGGGCTGATGACTGCTGAACGTGTACAGTGCTGAATATTGCAGATGTTTATTTCGCTTGCTCTTCATTTTTTATTCATTTATTTTTTAACACAGCCTCTTTGTTATCAACATATTTTTAAAAAGATATTTAATTCTATTGAAGGCTGGCGTCCTTGTAACTCAATTGTTAAGAGATCCATGTAAATGTTTGAAGTGTGAGTTTGTGCAGAGTGAGCGATCCGGAGCCGAGGGTGGTGGTAAATGTTGTGGATGATGTAGACGGCAGAATGTCTGCAGAAATAGCAAGTGCATCAACAGACACGCACCATTCGCCACTTCATCCCTAATTAAGTTGGTTTTTAAAACTTATGAATGGTGACAGTCACTGTGTTTCCCCTTACAATATTACAAACACATGGTAATTTTGTACAGATTTAACTGTGGGTGAATTGCAGTTTTGAGTCAATTATATTTTGATGTGGCGTTGTCAGTTTAATTAACCGTGTAAATGCGAACGTGTCCTTTGTCTCATTATTCTTTTGACTGGTGCCTGTAAAGCAGCATCGGCCGCCCCGGTGAATGCTCGCTACATTTGCTTATGCAACACTTGTGTGCCAACGTGGACAGCTCGTATAAATCCTCGTTTCCCTTTCACAAAGACGCGATGGGCACGTTTGCCGTCTCCGAGCGACCGACGTATCGACAAGATTCTTGGGACGCTCTATCGCATCGAACACGCTCCGATCGGCAGCACAAAATGGACACAGTTGTAAGAGCCGATCGATCGACACACGACACATTGGGCCTCTTAAGTTGCATTTGGGACGTCCTTCATCCTTCACAGCCGCCCCATTAGACTGCTTGCTGGAGAGTGTGCTCACTATGGTAGCAGTGTGAGGAATAGGTTGCGTGGCAGAACCGCCCATCCCGAGCAGGCTTCTGTCCAGGTACATGCCTGGATTCTCAAGGCCACTGATTATACTTTAGCCACCATGGTCTTAGCCTTGTCAAAGCTGTCAATCTGGCCACACAGCAGGGAGGTGTTGATGCTGTCTGGTCAGTCTGGTGTTTGTGGTGAAAAGGTGGGTGTTTTGTGTACGTGTAAGCTCGTGCTCGGCGACACATCACGTGCACATTACAATTTGACATTTAGCTTGACAAATTGTACCTTGCCCTGACACGCTATAAATATCAGACTGGTTTGGCATCTTTGCAATTGAGCCACTTTGAAAGCTACCACGGAAGTTATTGATCTTGGAGTGGAAAATAAACGTTTAAATGCTGCCTTTGTTTCATGCAGTGGGGGGGGGGGGGGAATAAAAAAACAGCCAGAACTTGCATCACTCCGTTTGTGTCAGTTTATTGAGACTAAATCATTAAATGATAAACGCCAAGATGCCGTACCAGTAGAGACCAATAGGTGTGATGGAAGAAACACTCGTAATCCTGCACTGTGCATTTACAGCATCCTCATTCATAGCCACCAGACGACAAAAGGCAGATGTGGCTTTTAATATATATCAAAACTGTTAAGCACACTTGGCTACTCTATAGTTTAACCATTATTAGGTGTAATACTAATTTTAATCCTTTATCAAGGAAGGCCTCATTAAGTCTCAAGGTATTTTTGGGCAGTCCTATATTGGCAAGTTTAAATTACTAAGTTTTTTTTTCACGCGAGAGGAAACTAAGAGTATCTGGGAAAAAAAACCCACCATATTAGATGACACGATTCGCTCCTGTGAACAACTATCGTGTCACTACCGAACTTCCCCCTCCCCCAGGTCCATCCCGACCTTTTTTCTTGTGTTTGTGAGAGCCAGTGGAGTCTTGTCGGCAGAAGAAACATGTAAATGAGACGTCAAAAGTCATTGTGAACAAAGGGGGTTGTTGATGGGAAAATATTGGAGGAGTCCAGTGAACTGTTTTTTTTTTATCGGGCTGTGTTGGCAAAGTGCAGCCTTTGTGGGCAGGTCACAATTTGGCATTACTGATGTTTGCAAAACAGGCGTTCAGATATTCTACTTTGTTTAATCGAAAGGGAGTTGTGTTGCCTCTTAGGTTGGGTGGCTTTTAGAGGTAACTGTTAAAACAACTTTTACTGTGGCATTGACGTTGCAACTCTCGGCAATGCGTTGCATCTCAAGTGACAGCAGCTGCTGCTACTATGAAGTTGGCCCACACTGCGGTTGTGTTAGTAGCTGCACCGGCACGTTGCTATGTTGGCATTTTTCGGGATGAAATCGCGATTGTGGTGAATGGAGCTTGCGCAAACAGCGGGGCATAATGAAGCAGATATAAGGTCGTCGTGAGTTTGTTCATTTTGGTTTTATTGCCTTTTTGTTTCTTGACAAAGTCCGTTTTGTGCGTGTTTTTTTTATCCAGGCAGGTGCTTAGGCATTTGTGTGTGTGTTCATGGCCAGCTCCAGTTTGGCAGCAGAGGTCTCACTCCGAATCATTCGAGCGGCATTATCTTTTATTGTTACCTGGTCTGTTTAACACGTAGGCTTTCGCGACCAATATTACCACCACCCGACACGGCCAATCAGCAAAAAAGTGTCACGTTGAAAGACAAATAGTTCACTACTTTAGCCCACCGGTGTGTTGAGTGAATCCACAACATTTACAGTTTGAGTACGACGTTTCGCTGGTAATTACATCCAGCATCATCGGGCAATTCGCCAGAATGGTAAAGTCCTCGCTTGCTCCTGGTCTTAAATAGAGCAGCAGGGTGACGTCATCAACTCATTTCAGGTGCAGTGATTTGAGGCGGAGGGGGGTATTGTAATTATATAATCGATTGGTAATCAGTCAATGGTTATGATTAGTAATGAGTTATAGATTAGTAATTAGTTGTAATGTTTCTTAAGTTTTGATGTGATTTCTCTATTCACTAAGGTTCCAGTGAACGAATCGCTTAAGTTACTTGATACACTAGTAAAGAATACAGGTTTACCAAAAGATATTCCGAAACTTGCTGACCATTGTTTAAATAACACTTCTTATGGAGAGGGGATTTCTTTAAACAAAAGGAAGGAGCAGCAATGGGCTCTCCTTTATCCCCTGCTATAGCAAATTTGTACGTGGAAAACTTTGAAATAAGAGCACTTGCCTCGAGCACATTAAAACCATCTTTTTGGTTTAGATATGTGGATGACACTTTGGTTGTCTGGCCACATGGTAAAGATACACTTAATGATTTTCTAAATCATCTCAATGCACAAAACCCGGCCATCCAGTTCACCATGGAAATGGAGGTGAATAACACACTCCCGTTCCTAGATATTTTGCTTGGACATGGCCTAAACGGTAAAATAACACAGCGTTTACAGAAAGCAAACGCACACTGATGCCTATCTGAATGCAGATTCGCATCATCATCCAGCTCAGAAATCCTCTCTTATCAAGACGCTCACACATCGGGCTTTAACAGTGTCAGATGGTGAAAGTCTAGTGAGAGAGATCAAACACGTTAAAGAAGCACTACGACAATGCCTACAATAATGCTCAAATTAACAGAGCACTGAATGGCAAATCACGATCGCAAAGCAATACTGCTGAAAGCGATCAGATTGTTAAAACAATAAAAATTCCATATATCTCAGGAGTAACTGACAAATTAGCCCGTGTTTTGCAAAAGCAAAACATTACAGTAAGATTTGGTACAGTACACAAAATTCAAAAACTAGTATCCTGCACTAAAGACTCATTACCTAAATTATCAACAGAAGGTGTATATCGGATTAATTGTTTGTGGCAGATGCTATATTGGACAGACAGGACGTAACATCAGCATAAGACTAAAAGAACATCAAAGAAATATCAAATTATCTCAAACACAACTGTCGGCAGTGGCAGAACATGCTTGTCAACAAGGACACTCAATTGATTTTGATAACGTTGAAGTGTTGTGTAAAACGAATTATTACTGACAAAGACTAATTAGAGAATCCATTGAAATTGAGAGGAATAGAAATAACTTTAATCGCTCTGACAGCTACAGGCTTAGTGCGGCTTGGAAGTGTATTATTAAATAATACATATTACAATTCCTTATAGGGGAAACACATACTAATTAACGGATTACTAACGTAGCATAGAATCACAATAAGACACATTACAATTAATTACTAATCTACAACTCATTACTAATAACCATTGATTACTAATCGATTATATAATTACAATACCCCCCCTCCGCCTCAAATCACTGCACCTGAAATGAGTTAAATGATGACGTCACCCTGCTGCTCTATTTAAGACCGGGAGCAAGCGAGGACTTTACCATTCTGGCGAATTTCCGGATGATGCTGGATGTAATTACCAGCGAAACGTCGTACTCAAACTGTAAATGTTGTGGATTCACTCTTCGACACACCGGTGGGCTAAAGTAGTGAACTATTTGTCTTTTGTCAACGTGACACTTTTTGCAGATTGGCTGTGTCGGGTGGTGGAGGGTACGACACGTTACCTGGTCTGTTACTCCACATAAAGCTTTGAGTCTTCTCGGCCACAATTATGCCCTCCCTTCTATGATTGCGTAATGTGGACCCCTCTGAAGGAACCTCTGCACTGATTTGAAACATTCAGACTGGCCTGTCTACGATCCAACCTGGGTTTCACCAGGATGGATTGTGTGAGGAGCTCACGAATCTTGTAAAGATTTGGACACATTCCCATTGTTGAGCTCCAGCAGGCAAGGCTGCGTTGGCTGAGTCATGTCGCCCACATGCCCAGCCACCGCATTCCCAAGCAGCTGCTGTGGCCGGAGAGGGGCTAAATGGGCACAGCACAGGCATCGAGAAGAGATGGTCTTATGCGGTACAGGAGTACATGGAGCTTTGTGAACTTGCCGAAGACTGGTACCAGCGGTATCAAGATCGACCTCTATGGAGGAGGCTCGTGAAAGACGCTATTGGGCAGTTAGTGGCAGTCGCCGTCCAACAACAGCGAAGGGCAGAGGGGTGACACATACGAGTGGAGCGCCGTGTGGCTAAAATGCAGCAAGTTGCCACAGTAGGCAGCACACAGAGTGCATCTGCCAGTCATCTCGGTCAACCAATGGCACCTGGGTCTATCCCATGAACTGCAAGCCAGCCTTTGACACTTCACGTGGCTACAAAGTGCACCTGTCCTGGCACAAGCGCCATGGTGATGGCACTGCCACTTAGTGGCGAATGGCGGCTGCTTTTTGTTTAAAATTTATCCCACACAAAACTAGCATAACATTTTGGCACATAATTGTAATTAAATTACCCGCACAATGTATTTTCATTAACTCAATATTTGAATGTCAAGTATGGAGACTCATTCTTGTCATTCCAAGAAATAGGTTCCCTCAATACTTTTTTTACAGAGGGGTTTTAAAAATGTATGACGTGAATATGCAGCACAGCTGCAAATGTGGATGAAAATATTTTTTCATAAATGCTTTTGCAGTATGATTAAGCATTTTAGAGGCAGTTGTGCATGATCAGGGTTAGGAAATAGGTGGGATGGTTAACTGTCTGTACTGTAATATACACTGGAATTATGGTATTTTCGTATGCTTTAGTCAAACTTTATATGTCGTGTCGAAGACGCTAGTAAGTCGCGAAGGCGGCGCGCGTCTGGAAACCTTTCTTGCATCGGAAAATGTAGGATCTAACAAGAACACCAAATACTGTGTCTTGACGGAAGACTTTGAGATGCATTTGCAGCCAGCGGTCACGTTAATACCCTCAGCTTGATTAAACAACCTAAATGCATGGCGGTTCGGTTTGGTGGAGAGCTGTAGATTTATATATTACGTGTGCGGAGATATTTTACAAACGTTTGACAAATTTTCTAAAATGTTTATTTTATGTAGTTGGAAGTAATTGCATACAACGTGTTGGAAACTGTAAATATATAAAACTCGTAAATGTGGTGTTGGCTTTGAAGTGTTTTTTGCAGGAGGGGAGCGGGCGGGTTGGGTTGTCTGTGCTAGTTTACACGTGAATTGTAAAAAAAAGTAGAGTTTCTGCACTTGTGTTCAGTGTACATTTTTATATAACGAATTCGATAGACTTTGGGACTGAAACATGCTTTTGCTGTAGTGACGACAATAACATTTAAGATGACGACATTATGGGCGTTTTATGAGCGGTCACAGCCCTGCCTTTCAGTGCCTTGCAACAAGCCTAAAATAGATAAGCGACACACCAAGTGTCTTAAACAGAAAACCAACCTCGTGCCTTGTTTAAGTATCACTCCCCCGCTGATTCCTGCAATTCACATTTCGACAATATCTTAACCGTAGTTGGTGTCGCTCAAAGACGCCACCAGAAATACAAACGGCTCTAATTTTGTAGTTATGCACACAGCCTGTGTGTCTTTTGATCGCCCCTAAACGCGTTTTAAGGTTTCGTTAATGGGGAAACATAATTTGATCGCGCGTTCAGACCGGCTCAAGTGATGTCTGCCGTACTTTATACGTCCAATGCAATAAAGCATCAAACTTGTGTGGGACAACCTGGAACATGCGCAGCATAGATTTTTTGAATAGAAGACAAGACCCGTTTACTTTTCAGGGTGTGTCATTAATCGCGAGTAGTGCGGGTCCGCAACAGGGAGAAATGTGTGGCCAATACTGCGAGGGTTCCATTTGCATTCATGTTGTTTCCTTACAG